ACACGAGATAAGAAAACACCAGCTGCTGCATCCTCAACGGTGGAAGCGCCTCAAATCTGGATTCTCCCCGGTCGCCGTCAGCCGAAGTCTATGAGAAAATGACTACTTCACACTCGAGTTAATGCTTCAGTAAAGAGCTTCAGGCCGTGGTGAAAAGGTTTGGTTCAACCGGGCAATGCGAGGATCCACAGTCACTGCCCTTGAAGTTTGACTGTGTTTGAGCACCAAGCCTCCCGATGTCAACTCATAATCACCTCCCGTGGTCCCGCCGGAGTCCCGCTCTCGTTCCTGCTGTCCACCGTCAGGAGCAGCTCGGTCTGGAGAAACGTTGGATTGGAGACGACTGCGAGCGAGACATTTTTCAAACCAACTTCCCAAATAAAAAACCACGGAAACACGACGAATCTTTCCGGCCGTCTACTAAGGCGCCGTGGGATTGAACAACGGCGACAGTCAGGACCTCTAGCAGCGTCACCGCTGCAGCAGCAGCAGGTAACTCAGCTCTGCAGACGCCTCAGGCCTCCAGCACCAAACTCATCACAGTAACAAGTTTATCTGTAAAGACATGCGACCCGACAATGTGGTTGAAAATCCAGGGTTCTGTGAATTGATCCAAACATTGTGTAATTATTGTGTGATGTTTACATGGAAAATGGCACTTGATTCAAATAAAAGGTGAATACATTTGCCATTAATTGTTGTTTGCTTGTTTATAATATACATAATTAATTTAAACCTGATTTCCTTACAAGAAACAACAGGGATGTCAGAAACTTTGCCTGCACTGTCCAGTAAAGTTACTGAATCGATTTCAAGTCACTGAATCGAATCGAATCGTTCTAAATTAACCCAGATCGTCCATGAATCGAATCGGCAACCGTGAACTTCGAATCGAATCGTCGTTAAAATGAATTGTTACACCTCTAATGTTCAGTCATTCATTTAGTAAATGATGGTCCCTTTTAGAGTAAAAATGTAGAATAAGCCAGGCTACGCTTTAGGGCGGACCTACATTCTGATTGACAGGTCGTAAAAACAAAGAAATCAGACCAAAATGACAAACTCGAGGCTTCAACCGTGGTCCACAAACCAACAGGTGAGGTCCAGGTGCCTCCAGCCATTCCTTTTAATAAAGCGGCTTAATGGACGCGGCTTCCAGAAGCTTAATACTGCTTTTGGGGTGAGGCAACAATTAAGATAAACCTTTTTCCGTGTGTCAACATGTTTTATTAAATCAGGAATCCTCTTATTTGGATCACCAGAGCCAGAGAGGGGACTCCGTCAACAGTGGAAGCAGGGTGTTGATAAGTGAGGGGGACATATCAGCCCCCGTGACATCACTACCTCGGTCCGCTTACTGCGCTGGCACTCAATGTGGTTTTTGGAGGTAAACAACGAGCAGCGGAATCCTCCAATATGGATCTAGTTCCTCGGGCTACTTATGCAGCAACCACACTGTAACATCTCGTCTGCCGAGGCGTCCCTCTCAAAAGGTGACCCTGGTCCTCAGTCCATGGAGGGGATGGAGAGTAGGGCTGCAACTAACGATTATTTTGCTAATCGATTAATCGGTCGATTAATTCTTCGATTAATCGATGAATCGGATTTTTTTTTAAACGGCATTAAAAAGCTTTAATTTCCAACCCTTTATTCTAAAACAGAACCTCAAATTTGTCAGAACTAGTTCTCTATACTACACTCACAAACACATGTTCACATGAAGCATATTCATTAAATTATTACCATCATTGTAGTGCAAGTTAAGGAAATGCATACAGCTAAAAAACAACCAAGTGCTATGAGATTAATTTAAAATGGCATTTGTAAATAAATGCGTTAGAGGCTTCTTAGTTGATTTAATGGATCACCATGTGTCTCCCTTTACAGGCATAACATCAACTACCGTATAACTCACAATATATGCGCAAGCGCACTGGACTACCGTACATGACAGCATTAAAAAGTACAACACACACAAATATATTTGTCAACAATAACCGATATGGGACAAAGCACAAAATATCAGACAACACATTGAAAAACGAACGGTCCAAAAAAGGCGAGTAAATTAAAATGTGTCTTAGTCTTGCTAACTGTTTTACTGCTGTTATTAGCGAGCTAACGCTAGCTTGATCAGCTGGATGACGAGTAAACAGGAGGCTTGTTACGTCAAAACGGGACAACGTGGACCGGGACCCCCCACGCTCGCACACCTTAGACGACTAGTCGAACAGACGTCTCTCCCTGTGTCATGTGACTCACAACAACTGCCGGCTGCTCTTTCCTCTACGGCGGCTCCGCGCCTTTGTTTTTATTTTTGCTCCGCGCGCATCTCCGCAACTCATTGAGCGACGTGACAATCGCGCGACACAACGAATCGCTAATGAAATTTGTTGCCAACGCTTTTAATAATCGATTTTAATCGATTTTATCGATTCGTTGTCGCAGCCCTAATGGAGAACATTGCTGTTTCCCAGAATGAGACAAAAGCCAAAACGTACATGCTGGTGCCTTCAGCAAAAGATCAAACAGGAAGCAATAAAAATAAAGGAAGAAAGAAAAAAAATCCTTATTTTCATCAGAAGACTATTGCCATCATCACTCTTTAGCCTACACTGTGCTATGTGCTAATAGCCACTAGCATTATCCACAGTAAGGACACCGACTTTTAGGAAATGAACGGCGGTAAAGTGAACTTTGAGAAACAGTGAACCAGCGATTCAAAGCTTATTTTCATCATTAATTAACTTCAAATGATTATGGCTGGTGTAAAATAAAATAGCAAAAAATATATATATTATGAATCTAAATCCGTTTCAATATAACTTTTAGTGAAACACTTGAAACTCTGCGTCCAGCGTCATCATTTGATAACGCACTCGCTCGCTGTCAGACAGAGCCTCATATTCTCAGAGTCAAACTGGGTCAAATATTTCTTTCCCAGTGATCCGACATGTTTAATAGATTAGTATTTGATGAACCAGTGTTATTGACTCTAGGTTGATGGGCCCATACAGTACCAGTGAGAAGTGTGGACAAACTTTCTCATTTAATTGAATCCGAAAATGTGTCCAAACCCTTTGTACTGGTTCTGTAGATCGGTGGTTCCCAGTACGGACCAGAACTTCTCCGCGGGCCACTTGCTACCTTCCAATTCCTCTGGTAAAGTCCCGTATCTCTACTGTCCACATTGCACTCAAGACCACATTCACGCCACCTGCCACTGCACGCCAGTTCGCCACAGGTCATTTTAGCGGACACTTTTATCCCAGGTGACTCATTTCTAACCCATGGCGCCGTGTTTACTGGGAGACCCTGCCACAATAAACCTGTGCTCCTCGCGGCCATAACTATCTAAAAATATTCTCATGAATTGGAAATTAAGGAATAAGACACATATTGCATGTTGCCTTGTTATGTCTGTGTATCGTTCCTTAAAATAACACAATAAAAGAGCAAATATTACACAGTTTACACCATTTTGGTGTAAACCATTCAATGGCAGCATCAGAACGGCCCCCATTTCCACCCTAACGTACTCGATCTGGTATCTGTGAGTGAGCATGTGCATCCATCACGTCCCAGGCGTGCCCCGCGCCATCCGGACGTCCCGCCGGATCGCAACTGAGTTCTACATCCAGGCGCTAACGTTACACGCCACGGCGCGTGCGGCTTGGACGGGCTGACCACATAAAACGAGTTAAACGCAACGGTTAAGATGTTATGAAATGTGATGATTTAAGATGTGAGGTGATTAAATAGAGGATAGTGATGATATTAATGCACGCCCCTGTTATTGCTTCCTACCAAAGGCGTAATCATGGAATTCATTAAAACACACCAAGTGATATGGGATCAGTTCTGGCCGGTGAGGATTTCAGGTCAGGCCATCGGATCACGATGACCCGACCCGCCGGACTGAGAGAGAAAGAATTATTCAGCAAAATATTACATTCCCTTTGTAGCTGCATTGCGTCTGTTAGCTATTAAATCCTGTTTGAGGCCCCTAATTCCTGGAGGAGTAGTGAGTGGTCTGGAGGTCCTGACCCAATAGTCTCTACAATGGACTTGAATGGAGCTGAATGGTGTTTTTCGTGGAGGAACTTTGACCCTTTCAGGTCGTATCTTCGCTTCATAAAAGTTGTTAAATATAAATAAACATGCTTTATTTACTGCTGTTGTGGCCTTTTGGAGTCAACCCACAAACCTCTTCTAACGGCATCAAAGGGTTGACATCATTATATTAGATGATGACATCACGGTCGCTATGGAGATGCAGAGATGTTGACGTCCAACTTGCTATTCTCCCTTCTGTGCGCCAGTCGTGTCTTTGGTAATGACGGCCTGGGGACCCGCCTGAGCCTGCTGTGCGTGTCTGTGTGTGTCTGTGTGTGTGTGTCTGTGAGAGAGAGAACACTGTCTGTGTGTGTTTGTGATGTGTGCACTTGGAAGGGAACCAGCTGTGGCCATGGATGTATTTGACAGCAGGCGTCTCGGCGTCATTTGGCACAACGAGGGTCCACCAAACCCAACAGCTCACACAAACAACACACACACACACACACACACGTCGCACACATTTCTCTCAATTAATAGACCGACTCGTCAACACCTGTCCCTTGCGGTCCACCCGCCTGAGGTAGGGACATGTTGTTTGTTCCGCTCCACTGTGGGCGTCCCCGTCCCCACGCCGCCGGCAGGTAAACAAAGGTGCGCGGCGGTTTGCCGGTGGGGGGACGGGGGACACTGTTGCACGTTTCTTGCTTAGTATCAGGTCCTCTCTGATAATGGACCTGCCACTCAAATCCTGCCTACACGGCCGTCACTGTTTTGGCTTTTTCGAGGACCCGTCTGAGGAAGAACACCTTCACCTTGTGAGGACATTGCGGATACGTGGGTGTAGATGAGGCTCAGATACAGGGGGGGGTAAAAGCATCTGTGTCCCCACAAGGATAAAAAGGTGTGTGTGTGTGTGCGTGCGTGCGTGCGCGTGCCCTTACCGCTGTGCGCGCTGAACCAGCGGGGCGCGATGTGCAGGGGCAAGGTGTCAGCCAGCGACCCCCGGGACCCCAGGTAGAGCACCCCGTCCGCGTGGTGGTGCCCCCCGCCGCCGGCGTCCTGGTAGCCGTTGCCGTGCGGGGCGGCGGCCGTGCCCCTGACCTCCCTCCGGCGCGATCCGGGTCCGCCGCCCTCGCGGTGTAGAAGCCGAAGGGCACGGCGGGGCCGTGCTCGAGCCATCGGCCGGAGTCCCGAGGGCGGGCAGCCCATGCGCGTTGGCCGTATGCGAATGGCCGAGGGCGCCCCGCTTTTGTCCGCAGAGCGCCGGAAAGCACCCGGGCCGCCCGCCGTGCTCTCTTTCCCCCATCGAGGGGAAGCGAGCGGGCGCGAGCAGCAGAGCGCGCCTGACGGGCGGTCTCCCCCCCTCTCCTCCCCTCCCTCCCTCCCTTGGTTCTGTCTGTCTGTCTGTCTGTCGTCTGTCGACCGCCCGTCTGCGTGTCGCGGGTCTCAGCGGGCTCGTCAGCTCTGACTCTCGCAGACGCGACACCCGCGTGGGGCTGAGCGGAACATGAGCCCCGCCTCCCCTCCCCTCCCCTCCCCTCTCTCCCCCCTCTTCGCCTCACCGCGGGGTAAACACCCTCCGCCGGAGACCCCACGGGGTGTGTGGGGGAGGGGGGGGGCGAACGTGTGGCGGCGCTGGGTGACACGCAGCTGCGGGCTACACCCCCGTCGCGGTCCCGGGCGACGGCTGGACCACCGTCGTCGTCGTCGTCGTCGTCATCGTTCGTTATCGTCGCCGCCGGCGGGACGCGGCGCGGCGGTCAACACGTTTTTTCCCGCCCGGCCGAGATCAAAGCGGCGCCGCAGTGCTCGCGCCTCATCGGACGTCGGACATCGTGGCAACTGTTGCTGCGGATGAAGATGAAAGGAAGAAGGAAAACGATGCCGCCGCCGCCGCCGCCGCTGCTGCCGCTGTCTGTCCGGTCCGGTCCGGTTTCGGTTTCGGTGCCGCCCCCCCCTCCTCCCCTCCTCCCCCCTCCCGCGCAGGTATTGGGGTCACAGTGACGCCGCTGCTCTGCGCACCAGGACAATGGAGGCGCTCGGTGCGCAACCCGCGGACCGGAGACACGCAGCGCGCGTCGGTTCCCCGGTGGGAATCGGCGTTAACGTTGCCCTTTAACGCCTGCGGGTCAACCGGCGTTGGCTTTTCGGAGTTTGTACCATGAATTGGGATCTTTAAGCGTAACAGTCTTCATTTAGAAGTTTTAACCAAAGAAACCGATGACTTGACTCGATCATAAAGGTGCAGTAGAAATAGACGTGACGTGAAAATGTTCTATTTAACACACCAGGTTGGTTTAATGCACGACAATCAAGGTATCAAAAACACATTACTACTTTGCAGTTAAATATATATTCCAACATCTCACGTGCAGCTTTGTAAATATAATATATTTACTATATTTATTTATATATTTAATATATATTTAAATATTTAATATTATAAATATTATTATATTATAAATGTGTGTTTGATACCAATGGGATGTTATGGATTTGACCCAGAACATTTGTCCAGCAGCCGCCACGGTGCACAGATGTATACGACATATGTTTGAATTATTAGGATTACTGTCTCAGATGTGTTGTGGGGGATTACTTACTCTAATCCCGTGCTTGTGTGTGTGTGTGTGTGATCATCACAATGTGTGCGACTCTTTGTTTCATCGAAATGGTCTTGACCTAAATTGTAAAGCATTGCAACAGTTGTTGATCCATCCGGCTTCACACTGAATCCTGCAACTCTCTATTCTTAAAGACGACGTATGAAAAACTTTTCACTGCATCCTTTGGTTGTAAAAAGGAACCAATTGCATGGGATTTTATGTCAGATTGATTCTACTTCTGTCTAAACATTGTAAACACACAGTTTCATGTCTTTTTCAACACAGCATGATGTTCATCTCATAGATGATGATCTATTTAAAGTAGTAGAAGATAAATAAATAATCTTCTTGTCCTGCAGCGGGTGGACTCTCAGGATTACAGCAGCAAAGATTAACGCGCAGACAGACACAGTGAAGAAACAATAGAGCGTAAAGCAGACTGTACATCAAGGCCGGCTCACTGTGATTGACAGGTCCAGAAATGGTAACTTCAAGTCATTGGTTGAAGAAAGCTAACAGCCAAATGGCCAAAATCAAAGCTGGAGCGGCGGTCCACTTAACCAGCGAGACATCAAGTTGACTTTGTCCACTTCCGATACCGTCTCCAGGTAGTCAGACACTATTAGAAACACGCAAAACGTTCGAGCAGAAACCCCAAATGCACGAACGTGGAAATGAGCGTTAAAAGTCCCCATTTAAGCAAAAAGTCAAACCTGGGGAGAAACCTAATGACAATTCATGCTGGCATGTATTGGTCACTGGACGGGCCTAACGGGTACCGGACCCAAATGTCTCTCATAGAGACACGTGCCATCCAGGAGAAAGACTTGATACGAGCACAAACAGACGTAAATAGAAACTGAAAAGTATGAAAATAGGCAAAATGACCACAAAAACAACTACAAAGAGAATAAAACCAAATAATGGCGTAAAATGACTACTACATTCGGACCGTATTTACTCGTGACCTCTGAAAGAAGAAAGGGCCTCAAATGAAACACTAAAGGGAATTCTCATCTTCCACACTAATGGTGATCCCACTGAAACCAACATCCAGTATCTCATTTGTGACGTTGCGATTATGTGATGGTCGTACGTGCCCATCGCATCTAAAACACCCTTTGAACCAATCGGCGATATCAGAGGAAGCTCGGGAAAGGACAGCGATGCAGCGGCGACCCCGCGTGGTGCCGGAGAAGAACTACGGCCCACCTCGACAGGTGCAGCTCGTTTCCGTTAGCTTAGCATCCTTTTTTTGCCTGAAGGAGGGGGGGGGGGAAACCGGCGAGCCGCCTTTACTTACAATAGTTAAAAACAGGGAAAGCAGCATCTTCGCCTGATATCAAACAATCAATTATCATGATATGCAGAAATAAAGCAAAGAGACAAAAGCAGGATTTAGATTTAGTTATTCTTTTCTTTTTGGGAAAATGGAATCACACATGCAGCCATAATATATACAATAGAAATATTATGCCACTACGATACATTCAAACATTTCAGATCTTCGACACTGGTGCTCCTGAAGTGTCTTGTGTTAGAAAGGCCCCTCGTTTAGTACCCGGCTTAATTTAGATTTAGGTATTTATCGCATCTCGGAAAACATTTCATCTCTGCTCAGGCGGTGAGTTGATCGCGACGAGGTTCCCCAGTGGGGTCTACAGCTCTCTCGGCAGCAGGATTTTCCCAGGATTCATGAGGTTCCTCGGGTCGAGGGCGTCCTTGACACCCTGCATGACCTGGACAGCCACGGGTCCCGTCTCCTCGCGGAGCAGCGCTCTCTTCCCCAAACCCACGCCGTGCTCCCCCGTGCAAGTGCCGTCCATGGCCAGCGCTCGCCTGCAGGTGAGAGGGAGCGCAGGAGGTCACGGACGTCACGCGGTCCACGGCGTCAGTCTGCCCACGTGCGCGCCGCAGGTGGGAATACTGTTATATTCTCCCAAACACCAGAGGGCGCCCTAACAAAAGGAACTGTGCTCGTATTCTGCAGGTCGTTAACTGGCCACAATCGAACCTCCACCAACACGAGGCGGCACGTCATCACGTGTAAACCCATGGTCTGCTTTTTTGCCGAAGGGTCGGGGCAAAGGGGTTTGGGGTTCTTACTTACCTGGCCAGTCTCTCGACGAACAGGTGGACCCTGTGCAGCTCCTCGGGGTCGTCGGGGTCCACCACCATCAGACAGTGGAAGTTACCGTCGCCCACGTGACCCACGATGGGACCTGAGGGCACAACGGTAGCACACGCGCTCGCTTATTCCCTCCCGTCATTATTAACATTATAACATTGGCATCGTCCTCTGCGGCTCACTCACCCGTGAGCCTGCTCTCAATCAGGTCCTCCTTGGTCTCCACCAGGACTTGAGGCAGGCGAGACAGAGGGACACACACATCTGTGGCGTACGCCTGTGAGACACGCGGGGGGAAAACATGCCGACGCGTGTGACTTTTGGGGGGGGACACGGTTCGTATCCTTTGACGTTGACGCCCGCGTTTTCTACCTTGCAGCCCGGCCTGAGGGCCAGACTGGCGTACCAGGCGTCGTGGCGGGCCTTCCACAGTCGCTCCCGCGTCGCTGCATCTTTAGCCCACTGAAACCCGGAACCGCCGTTATACCGAGTGATGTCCTCTGTGGAAACACACACACACACGCGCACACACAATGTTCTTTGGATTTTTGCCCGAAAACGCAGCTGCGCGACCTTCAGTCGTTGGGGAAGCGGCGGCGTTCTGCACGCCCTCACACACCGGCGGCTTTGACCTGCTCCTCCAGGCTTCCCTCGGCGCCGTGGAACTCCAGGAACAGGCTCGGGGACACGGCGTAGGACAGAGAGCTGAAGCGGTTGCACGCGTCCATCATCACGTCGTCCAGGAACTCTGAGCGCACCGACAAAGGACAAAAGGTCAAAAGGTCAGTACGGCGAGCCCCGGCTGCTCAGACCGGGGAGACGAGCGCGTGCGCGGCTCTCCTCACCGATGCGAGCGACGGGAACGCCCGCTTGCAGAACCTGCACCGTGCTGTCCACAGCGGCCTGGACGGAGGGGAAGGAGCACACGGCCGCCACGGTGGCCTCCGGGACGCCGTACAGACGCAGGGTCGTCTTGGTGATGATCCCCAGGGTGCCCTCTGACCCCACCAACAGGTTGGTCAGGTTGTAGCCCGCCGCTGTCTTCCTACGGACCCACAAATACGAGGAAGAAGAGTAGTTCCGCTTGAGGGTGCCTGAGGCGCGGTTGGTCCGTGCCTACCTGGGACGCCGGCCCTTGCCCGCCGTGTGGAGCACGCGCCCGTCGGCCAGCACCACCTCCAGGTTCAACACGTTCTCCCTCATGGTGCCGTAGCGCACCGCGTTGGTGCCGGACGCGCTGGTGGCCGCCATGCCACACAGGGAGGCGTCTGCGCCGGGATCTGAGGTCGGGAGGGATCGCCTCGTTGGAAAGGTGATTCATGCAAAATATACCGTCTGCGACCGACGTTGCCAATTGCGATTTGGTCAATCGTCATCATCTACGCAGTCCCACCCTGTTGTTGAACCTCTCTACGGGCATTGATCTCCCTCTGGTTGGACCCATAAAATCCACTTGAAACTTCCCCGATTGGTCGTGAAGATAAAAGGAGGAGATGCCGGTCTCTCTGTACTTGACCAGTACCAGAACTGTGCAGGGAAGCGTTGGGGACATTGCTCGGCAAAGATGTGAGATCTAAAATCTCCCACACAGAACGGATCACAGGTCAACGGCTCACGGAGCGACCAGGAACTGACCGACAGGAAACCACAGGCCGGTGCCGCGCAGGTAGGAGTTGAGGGCCTTCCGAGTCACGCCGGGCTCCACCGTCACGTCAAAGTCGTCCTGGTGGAGATCCAGAACCTGGTCCATGTTCCTCAGGCTGAAGCACACGCCACCCTACATGCCCAGGAAAGACACTGTGATCTGTAGTTTCATTCTGCAACACGTTGCACCAACACGCCGCCGCCGCCTTCTTACTCCGTGACGGATCAAATAAACCCAGAAGGTCACGTGATACTGAACCTGATTAACCATCACCTTGACTGCACTGACGCCGCCCTCCAGGCCGGTTCCGGTGCCGAAGGGGATAATGGGGAGGCTGTGGCGGCTGCAGATCTTGGCGAGGGCGCTGACCTCCTCCACGCAGCGAGGGAACACCACCACATCTGGGGGGCAACATCTGCACAGCCACAAAGGAAACCCTTACTCGCCATTTTTCTCTAGCAGGACCTTTTGTTGAGGTCTGTCTGACAGGCAAAGCTGCACTTATCACTGTTGCTGTGTAAACTAACCAGTGTTTTTACTTAAACAATAGACGAGAGGTTTAGAGAATCAGCAAACCTCACAGGTTAAATTAGCCCGATGGAGCTTTTGGACGCCCCGAACCCTCTGGGGGACGGGATGTCCGCTGGGAAATGGTCTCTCTTCATTACGACGCAAAGAAAATCCGCCTCCTTTTTGGGATTGGATATATGGTCCGAGTGAGACGCACCGACCTGTGTACCGACTCGTCCCTGCCGTGTTGCTCTCTGACCGCCTCCCCCGACGAGACGCCGTCCTCGCCGCAGACGGACCTGAACGCAGACAGCACGCCGTGCGCGACGGCGCTCTGTGCAGAGACACGGCGCGGCGATGGAGGGCGTTGAAGGCGGTGGAAGGAACAGATAGAACACAGCATGTTGCACCCCAATAGTAATGCGGGACAATGGGAAACGGGCTCGTAGGGTGGCGAGGACGTGTCAAACTGCTTTCAAAAGTAGACTTTTAAGGCATAACAGGGTGGTAGAGAACCGTCATTCACAAAGTAGCCCCGTCCTAAATCATCCCCTGATCCATTTGACTCTAAATGGACCATCATTTACTAAATGAATATCACGAAGTATTCTAATAGACGTAAGACAGTGAACTCATGTTTACTGAGGAATCTTCTCATTGACGACGATGGACACGTATACGCAGACATGAATTTTGTAATATTTTTGTCTTTATTTGTCGTTTCTCTTTGTGTTCCCCGCTAATAGCATGTAAAATAAAACATTCACCCTTCACGTGAGACTGTCCAATAAACGCAATTCAATTCCCACGATGGACAATGTGTTAAATGCTATAAGACATGCACCCCTAAATAATTAGGTAATTATTAGATTTAGTTCCATATAACGCACGTGCCCCATTAGGCGCTAATAGCTCAATTCAACCGGTTGAAGTCAACGTGCACATTTAAAACGCAACACATACAGAGGATTTCATTTTCACTAAAAGTAAAAGAATACTAAGAAAACGTTAAAGTTCGATAGGAGGCTAAAGTTCCCCGTCGAACTTAACGTCGCTGTGAACACGGTCGCGAGTACCAGCGTTACTCCAAGAGACCCCTTCAAAATAAAGCTCAGCGGTTACGAAGCGAGGCTAGCTAAAGGCCGGCAGGTCATGACGTCACCCGCTGTTACCGCTAACCGGTGTCACGTGGCCACTTGACGCGCTGGCTCCCACCGGCGCTATTTAACGTCACGCGCAGGGGGCAAAAAGGTGACGGAGCAACTCCGTCTCTTCCGGCGGACTTACCGCGGCGGTGGTTCCTGTTTGCACGCCGCGGCACTGCAGGAGCCGAACCCGGCGAGAGAGCAGCCGGCGGCCCGGTGCCGAGCGGAGCCACATTTTAGAGCTGTCGATGAACTACACCGCTGGCATTGCCGGCGGCTAAACCACGCAGTCCGCAGTAAACATCTGGTAAGACTTCCGGCCGATGCTTTTCAAAATAAAGCGCTAAAAAAACCTGCGCTTCATTGTTTGCAGTACTTTTTTTTTTTTTTTTTACAAATACTTCTCTCTTCTTTAGTTTTGGTCAAGTCAAAGTTGCAAAACTGGAATGCAAAAAATACCGTGATAACGTTATAGTTTTGGCATCAAAATGAGCTAAAAGTAACTAAATTCAATTACACAGGATGGGTTTATTTCAAGGTCATATGTTTACGATATTAGTAGGTTTAATAGGGATGCGTTATTACTTAAACGTTGCCACTGGGAAATACTTACGTTATACACTGCTGGGTAATTTGTTAATTATACTTTTTCCGCAGTAATCTGAATCTACAAAGTAACTGAAGCGGTCGTGGAAATGAGGTGAAGTAAAACGCACAATATTCAACTCTGAAATGTAGTGAACATAAAGTAGCAAAGTAGCACAGTTACCTTGGAATTGCATTTGAGTCTCTTTTGATTTATGTTGCGATGTTTCAGGCTCGAATAGATGCAAAGGAATATCCAGACTGTCATTAAATTGTATTATTGTATTAAAATTGTACTAAAGTGTTGGTGCGGTGGATTCGGAACGTTCCGCGGGAAGTGATCATTTTGTCATAACATACGTTGAGATGTGCGTCCTTTTAGCAAATGCCGTGCTTTTATCTTGACGTGCACCTCACAGGCTTCCGGTCATGGCTTCGCCGATGGAGCCGATGGAGCCCGCCAGACGGGGGCGCTGCAGGCCGAAGAAAGAAGACGTCAAGGTGCGCGCTCGTGAGAAAATCCAGGGACGTCACAGGTAACTGGGGCAGAAAAGCTGCTCCCGTCGACGTCGAAGTCCACCTGACTAAACGAAGGCGCCTGTCAGGAAGTCGCGCTTGTTAGCATCGCTAGCAGGTCAAAGGGCGACGCGGCCTCCGTTGCGAACGGTCTAGTCGGACTGCACTTTGATGACGTCACGGGCCCCCTTTTGCAGCGATCACCGCGCTCCAGCTGTAACCTCTGGACCGACGTCAGCGTAAGGAAGGAACAGCGCAAGCAAGGCGACTTTAAATTGACAGGACTTTTCGGCACAGTCTGGTAAAGATATTATGAGAAAAGCTGTTACCTGAGGCTGTTTTAACCCCCTTGTAAAGCGTGCAACTACCCCACAAACAGCCCTGCGGTCCAGAGAGGCCATGTACCCCGTGGACCTGCCAGCCGCGAGGGACGCCGACCTGACCTCAGCATCCGAGGAGTACCTCTCCTCTCTGCAGTCCAGGCCTCATCAGAACCAGTGGTTTCCATTGTCGCACTCTACAAAGGTAACGCAACGCTTAAGAGTAACCTTTATCATAAGCGCCGTGCTGGCGTGTTACATTGTTTCCAATAAAGTAGCGGCGTGAGGCCGATCTTGACATTTTTTTCCCCTCCTGTCCGCTCAGGTCGCGATATCGGCAAAAAGCGTGAGGCGGCTGCAGCTGTTTGAGGACGACGACGGCGGCGGCGTCTGCACGCTGCTGGCTCTGCACGCCCCTGACGATGCGACACGCGGTGAGGGAACCCCCCCCCCCCCAACCCGATCAGACACCCACGCGGGCCCAAGCCTGACGCTCTCTGCTCTCCTTTCCAGCGGTGGCTTTGTACCTGCACGGCAGGTGGTGGCACGTGGACGACGTCTTGCGCACGTCCAGCGACTCCAGAGTGGGTTTGATTTCGGTAACTTGATGTCATCATTTCAATGAGTTTGACCCGGCGGTTAAATGCGTGTCTCTGGCACCGTGAGAGCCTTTGACTTCTCGAGATCGAAGAGGTTTGCTCAGTTTTCTCAGGATGGCAAAAGGCAGAAAGGCGTTATCTGCTTCTTTTGAGGAAACCAACGCTCTTATAATACTAATTTAAAGGGGTATTTCCACTTTTTCTCGGCTCTACAATTTTGATCATCTTTCCGTTTCTATTCATGAGACCTGACTTGTTTTCTCTTTTCTGTTGAACTCCTGGGGGAAAAAAAAAAAGGTGACTGGGATCATTTTCTGTGTTTGTTATCTCTAAGATGTTTACAAAGCACACGTGTAATCTGCATGTTTTACAACATTAGAGCGAGAAGTTGCTTATCGTTGACGTCAGTCATGAAAATGTCAATTTTCCAGTTCATGAGTTATGAGGTTGTTTTTTCCGGCTATGAAGCACTCGGTTGAACATCGCTTAGCGGCTACGTGATGAGACGCCATCATACGTTACTGAGGTCTCTGTTTGAAAGCTGGCTGCTGGTTCTCGTCGCCGTTCCTCGTCTCAGGCGCAGTCGCTGACGGAGAGGGTGGTTGTGTTCCTGCTCAGTCGGGTGGTGGAGAGGTCCCGCCGGGACGAGGTGGCGTTCTCCCTGCACCCCCGCACGGAGAGCTGCAAAGTGCTGTGGAGAGATGGCCAGGCCGTTGGCTTCTACACCATCAAACACAAAGGTAGGGTGGAGGAGGAGGAGGGACTGGGTGGAGAAGGTTAAACTACAATTCAACCAAAACAGAACTCCACAACTCGATGGTTGAGGCAACGGTGACCACGTCCACTCATTAGATACAGTGTGATTCCTTTACCCGAGTACCTTTATTGCTTTTATAATACGGTTACCAGCAAAATTGTAAGTGAATTGCTGCCTTTCAGCACAAAATAGTATCAGCCACCAAACGTTGTGTATCTCATTTCAGTAGTCTAGAGAAAAATAGCTCCTGTACGAGCAGGTAAACCGCATCGGGTCTCTTTGCAAGATCTCGCAGCATCTCGTTCCCTCACGTCGCTCATGACGTCCACCTCAATTGTCCGCTTGCGAAAGCTCCCGATCGTTTGGCAATCGCCACCGAGCCAAAAATATCAACTAACGCAAAAATCTAACCTGTGCATTATCGCCCAATAATGCCCACCCCATGACTCCCCCCTCCTCAACCAATCAGAACGCTGGATTTCATCTACCCGTATTCCAATGGGCGTCATGAAAGTTGTGCGTCGTCGTGGTGTTTCAGGCAGCCTGTGTGACGGCGGCGGCGGCAGCAGCCGCGGCTACCTGCTGCCCGTCCTGGACACGGTGCTGGTGAGGAGGAGCTGGAGGAGGAGAGGCCTCGGCCTTCACATGCTGACCGACTTCTGCGCGTCCTTCGCCGCCGAGCCCTTCCTAGGGGTCAGCTCGCCGCTGTCCCCCGGCATGGTGGCCGGTCAGCCAGGCCCGTTTACCTCCTTCCCTTTCTTCATTTTGGTCTTTACCGGGGGGGGGAGACGCTTGGCCGTAAGCTAAAGCGACCGCCCGTGTCTTCTCTGTGTTCAGTGTGCAGGAGCTTTCTGCAGAAGCATCAGGAACGTCTGGAGCAGCTGTATGAGGTGGAGGCTCCAGGAGGCTGGACGCAGCGACGCAACATCTGGCTCGGCATCAAGCTAGGCCGCTACTCTTTGGGTGCAGATTATTGTTATTGGGTTTTTAATTTGCATTAATGTTGCGAATGTTGCGTAGCGCTTCTGTCAGGACGTGTGTGTGACCTCGTTGTGCGTTTCTAGGTGTTGGTGAGGAGAGTACGATGACCTCGGGGGAAACTTCCCGGCGTGGAGATGACTCCTCTCAGAAGGTGTGAATCTCCATGTCCCTCTGCCTCGTGTCCAGATGAAATGTCTTTCCCCGTTAGCCTCGCCTGTACTTTGTGTCCACGTACAAATGTAAGCATTGCACATGCTAAGCGTCAGCAAATTAAAACATACTTGACGAGGGAACGTTGTTAAAGTTGGACCATCAATGTTTCAATGGAACCTTTTTTTTACAGAAATAAATGCTGTATTGTGTTTAGCAACAGAGGAACAGATGGCTTTCTCTGCCCTCTTGCATTACTTTGTGATGACCTTTTGTGCGTCCTGAGCTCTTAAAAGAGTCTCCTGTTTTTCCAAAGCCGACCGCCTGTCCTGTGAGCGCCCACCCGGCAGAAGGCCCGTCGGTACGACAAATAAAACGCTGTGATCCGAGCTCCCCGAGCGGCGAGCGCTCAGGAACGGCGTGTAGTCCTGCGGCCCACGCAGAGGATCCAGACTCCGGACCCCCGACCAGGCCTCCACCTCAGCGCCGAGAGGAGCCGGGGGAGGAGACGCAGAGCAGGGCCAAGCGAGGCAGGAGGACATGAGGGACATGAGAACTTCACTATTTCAGTCTTGTGTTGTTTCTCCAGACAGAGCGGATTATAATGCAGCTCGTAGACCTTTCATACAACGATACGTAAAGTTTAATAGTCAATATTTGTGTTTTTGAAACATGGAATACACCATGTTTGTGATTTGTAGAATAAGATGTCTGTGCAAAATAAATGCTTTGAGGAGGTCTCAACAGAGGCCGGTCCACCAGGCCGTTTTATGTCCAAGAGAAGAACTTTCGGTGGAGAAACCAGAGGTAAAGCGGCTGGCTGGAGGCGGCCGTGATTACGCCGCGTTTAGCCTCCCGTGCTCGCGTTTTAAATCAAGGGGGACAGAATCCAGCGTGGACCAGATACGTGATAAAAGGACACGAAGCACTAGGAGTTTTGTGGGTCTTTTGAGTTGGTGTTTCCCCAACAAACTGGATTCAGGGACATGCAAATCTTTTTTTTTTTAAATATAAATGTATTATAATAAATATATCTTATTACAATATATGTATTATATGATATTTATAGTATTTACGACATTGCATTATATTATGTAATGAATATTATATATATTTGTTAATATACTGAATTATATGAATACAATGTTTATTATGTTAAACTATTGGAATAAATATTTAACTGCAAAGTATTAATGCGTGTTTGATTGATAACTAGCTATTTTATTATAATACAAATCTGTTTCCACTTTGATATAACAGGCCACATTGTCTTCTGTCTCTGGAGGGTTCCAGGCCTCTATACCTTTTCACATTCAGGGTTTAAGTTGTGTTTTCTAATTTAGTCCCTTGAATTTTTCCTCTTAACATTTTAAATTCTGAATTTCCTGTGAAAATCCAACGGACTGAAACTCGTGTGCTTAAGTGGTGGACGGCATCCATCTTCAAACCACGTTAGAAATACTGTCACCTTTAGCCAGAATAATAAACGCACCTGTGACTTAAAGGGACACTTTAGACTTCAATACAACGACAGCTTCCATACTGTGACACCGCGTTTAAGGACTCGATATTTCCACTGCGTGCAGCACATTCCCCTCATCTCTCACGCCGCCGTCTCCCGTCGCCACGTGCCGTGGAGAGATTCGAGCGCACCTCTGTGACGCGGCCGCGTGTAGGGAACAAGAAAACAGGAAATAGGAGGAAAAAAAACCTCAAGGGAGCTTCGGCCCACTAAAGTTCCGGTGTTCTTCGTGAAAGATGAGCCGCATTTACGACAACAAGTCTTTGAAGAACAAACCGGTGCACAACGAGAAACTGGAGCGCGCGTGGTCCCCTTCCGCGTACGAGAGGTAGGTGACACCGAACCGGCCGGTTCGCCGGAAGCTCCATTTCCCACGTGGGGGGGGGGACCTGAATGCACCGCGAGCCGGGAAAGTAAAGTCAGTGGAACCTTTGTCTTCCACGCAGTGGCCACGGGGTTCTCCTGGAGGGGACGCTGCTGGACGTGTCCAGACACGCCATCAGTGACCCCAGCGGTCAGAAGGTACTGACCAGAGAGGGCCACAAAATATACAAATAAAAAAAACAAATTGTCAATGTTTGTATATATACACACACACACACACACACACGTGTTGTACAGCGAGTAAAGTATCACCATGGAACATTTAATTATATTTTACTGAATAGTATTATTTATAGAATACTGGTGGATTAAATCATAGTGGGATGTTTGCTGAAACTGAGTGCATGACCCTACCTGGTACTGACAGTACACGTCTTTCAGCACAGACAGGAACTGTAAGTTAGTACACTAGAAAACCCGAGTACCCTACCTCGTTTTAGCATCCAAGGCTGACTAAAGAACCGTGTCTGTACTTTTGGACAGGTCCGCTTCTATGTGCTGTACATCAAGCCCACACGCATCCATCGGAGGAAGTTCGACGGCGGCGGGAAGGAGATCGAGCCCAACTTCAGCGACACCGTGAAGGTCAACACGGGCTTCCTCATGTCCTCCTACAGTGAGTACACGACAACGCCTCTCGTTTCCTCTCAACCTCCGCTCTGCATCGTCCTCCACGTTTGGGTCAGTGACAGATTCAATTTCTAAAAAGGTAATAAAAAAAAAATCTTAATGCAAAATGGAATTATATATATATTTCTATGGATGGGTGGATTGTATGAATATATTAATATAATATATATATAATATATACATATATAAATATAATATATATATATATATATATATATATATATATATATATAAATAAATATATTATATATATATATATATATATATAAATAAATATATTATATATATATATCTATCTTTTTTTGTCTGGAACAATGTGTAACAGTTTCATGTTGTTTTAAATAGTTTTAAAAGTTTGTTCTTCACAAATACTTTTAAAAGAATATTTAAGGATTTTATTTTCTCGAAACAAAATCTTCTTGAAATGACCCCTCGGAGTGTTTACAGTGGTTGTAGTTTGTACGTGCAATAATTTAAGTTTTTTCTAATCTCTGAGCTTCAGCCGTAGTGATGACATCTACCAACCAAACGGGACGGTTACTCCATGGAGGAGTTGGATCTTTGTTTGCTCTGAGGAGGAACGATAAACAGGCTGTGTGTTAGTTGGAAATCGCTAAAGGGTTGGTTAGTTATCTTGTTAAAGGCTGAAGCCATAATAAACCAAAAGTGCTGGAACTCTTATCCGGGAAGTCACGAGGTCCCGGTTTTATTATTTATTATTGGTTATTGGCCACGAGATTGAGGGCGGTAAAAAGTTCTTCCCGTTGAGTTTGTGCCCCCTGGCTTTGTTCACACCTTCTTTTTAAATGACCTAATTTGTTTTTTCTTCATTCTCCCGGTGTGATGTTTGCTGGCGTGTGCCTCGTTTTTTCGTCGTCCTCTTATTGTTATTGTCTTGTTTCTTCGCTTACAACACAAAACAAACTCAAAAGCAAAAATCAAAAAATAAATATCCTTCATAAATACAGTTAGTTTTTAGGTAAAAGCTATCGGAAGGTTTATTTGGTGACTGAAGGTCATGAATTAGAGCGTCATCATCCCTGCATCTCATTGTGATAGAATAATCTTTCTTTGCTTCCACCCGGAAGCCTTTTCTCTGACCTTTGACCTCTTTCTGTCGGGGACGCAGAGGTGGAGGCCAAAGGCGAGTCCGACCGCCTGTCCGAGGAGCAGCTGTCGCTCGTCGTGAACAAGGCCGAGCTGCTGAAGATCACCGACAAGCACCGACCCAGCGGCACCTGGGCCTTCTGGTACCCGGAGTCCCACATGGACCGGACGGAGCTGGAGGCGGGGCAGGAAGTGCGGCTGAAGACCAGAGGGAATGGTCCTTTCATATGTGAGAGTTGAGCGGTCTCGGGTGTGGATCTTTTCCTTTGGGGATATGAAGGAGTTGATCAGGAGCTAATTGGATTGCTTTTCATAAGACGGGCCGGTTTTCCCAAAGCCGCCCGGGTCCTTTTCTGTTTCCACGACCCCGCGTTGACCTCCGTGGCAGCGGGCTGGGAAAGTTTCCCATGAGGCCTCTAAGGGGAGCTGATGTTTTACACGGAGTTAGACACACACGCACACGCACACGCAGGGTGTATAGGCCGCCCTGTGGGAAGTCACATTCCTTGTATGTCTGACGTGTTTAGGTAATAAATGACCCCTGACCTGAGTAACATTAGCTTAATTAGCGAGATAGATTGCTACAGATGTTTCCATAAACACTGGTAATTCTATTTTTCTACATCCTTCCACTACCAGCACAGTTTCCAAGAGGATCTTGTGAGGCTGGTGGGCCGACCTCAGACCCTCTGGGGGTCCTGAGGGACGCTCGTTTCCTACATTAAAACCTCCCCAGTGCAGGAAATGACTCGCTTCTTTTTAATCCGTTTAATCACTCTTTTCCCGCTGAATTCTCCTCCTCCAGTCTCCTTGGCCACGGTGGACGGCGGCGCGGCGACCACGTGCAACTTTGCCGGAGACGAACGCGCCGGCGCTTCGTGGACCGACAAGGTTCTGGCCCACAAAGCCGAGGCGGGCGGCGCGCCGAGGCCCGGCGGGGACGGCGAGGGAGCCGGGGAAGACGAATGGGTGCGTCAAAACCTACCTCGCCCATCGCGGCCCAATGAAAAGTACACAAAAAGGGGATAATGATAATAATAATAATAATAATAATACGTTTGCTTCTCCCTCAGGGTGACTGAGGGAAGCGTCTCGTCCTTCGCCTCGGATTCCGGCGGCCTGGCTGGACTCTCCCCGGCTCCTCGCCGCCGTTGGGGCTTCGTCCTCGTGCACTTTGGATTCGCTTGCTGGTTTCTTTTTCTTCTCTTGCCCGTCTCTCTCGTGTGCGAGTCCGATCCAGCGGGCGTACGAGGGGATTCTGTGCTGAGCGCCGGATGGTTCCTTCTGTCCGTTCCGGATCTATTTAAAGTGCATCTCTTAGCAGCCGTTCACTCCTACAGGCTCATATGATCTCTGCTGTTTCCAGACAATAAGTAGGATTTTAAAAAGGCGTTGACACGTTTCCACAGCCCCAAATGTATTCTAGGTCTTCTATCAACCGTTATTGTTATGATCATCTAGTTATTATAGATATAGATCAGTTAATACCGGCTGCATTATGTTTGTACTCAATTAAAGGACTTCTATTGAATCAAATTTCAGTGTTTTATTTTGTTAAATAACTGCTAGTACCATATAACGCTGATTTGGTTCCTTGATTACAACATGTGGACGTGTTCCTGGAACAATTGGGGGAATCTGTCCTTGGGCTCAGATTTTTAACCTTCCAAATACATTGATAACAATTTTAAAAGATTCTGACAAATACATGTTATAATTTATTCTCAAACATTTTCAAGTATACAACTCTTAACATTGATGGTGGACCAGCGTCGTGTGCAAAAACAACGGAGAAGAAATCTGTTGCAATAGCAATAATATATTGTATAATATAGTGTATAAACTACTGTGTCTTCACTGAGGTGCCACACGTCTCTCGGCACAACACTACGGATCAGTTGTCTTTATTGAAGGAATTAAATGTCCTATTGGTTGATTACTTTGTCGCTTTGAGGGGAGCGGGTTCTTGTGCGGTGGTACTGGAATCGGTCCCGGGGGGGATTTAGTTGAGTTAGTTAGCAGGAGATCTGTGAGGCACCAACAACGAGATCTAAACGCTCCCTACGAAGCCGTTTCACTCTCGAACCACTGCAGGACGCCGTCTTTGTTCTCGCTGACCCACTGGATGTTGACCCGGGTTTGCTCGACGGCCTGCACCACCGCCATGGTGGCAGCACCCAGGTGGTAGTCCTCCCCGAAGCGCTCCAGCTGCAGACACACAAACAGACCCGGCCCACCCTGTCAGGAGCTGGAACGCAGACAGGTAGATTCTTCCAGGGAAAAACACCTCAGGAAGTAGAACCAAATAGGTTCCAGAAGGTAAATAGTTAACGATTAGCAGACCGGTGAGCCAGAGAGGTTTGCAAAATCAAGACAACCGATAAACCAGCGATTCCCAAAGTGTGGGCCGCGGCCCCCTGGTGGGCCGCGAAGGTACTGCAGGTGGGCCGCGAGAGGTAATTTTACAATAAATAAATAATTTTTTAACTTTCAATTTTTAAAAGTTTGAAATTAATGTGAAAATATGTATGATGCGGCACATTAGTTGATGAAGCACAAACAATTTAAACGGACAGATTAATAAAACAATAAGGCTCTTTCCGCCTGTCGTTAAACAAACGGGGCGCCCTCTTGTGGTATTAAAGTAAATATACCGTATTTTCCACACTCCAAGGCGCATTTAAAAGGCTTTAATTTCCTCAAAAAACGACAGTGCCTTATAATCCGGAGCGCCTTATATATATGGATCAATTGGTTAATTGACCATACCTCGCGGAGACGGACTTTTGCTCGCGGATATTTGATTTTGGTTAAACTCTTAAGGTAATTTAATCATTATGTTTTGATCAGAGTTGTGGTTAAAGGTTTGGGTGGGCCGCCAAAGATTTTCAGATTTCAAAGCGTCCTCGAGTTTGGGAACCGCTGCGATAAACGATAGCGTGTTTTGTCTCCTTCCTCATACAGTCACGTGACAGAGAGACGTGTGATAGGGTATCAGGGTGTATCACCTCCCTCATTAGTTAATTATTGGCGTGTTACTGGAAACAGGAGTCTCCCCTTGACGTCACTGCGCGGCCGTATTGTCATTTTGACATAATAAAAACATCCAAATACAAATTACCTCGGTCAGTTCAAACGGCGTGGAGAACCTGCGGGTCACTGCGTCCACCAGCATGACCGAGTCCCTGGAGACGAGCAGAGGGGGGGACAAAGTATTAGTTTAGTTATGTGTGTTTACACGACGCCGCCGATCGCGTGGGCCTCTGGTCACGGCACAAACAGCGCCAGGCGATAAGCACTGATAGAATGACGAGACCTTTGTACTCGGCTTTTTACAAGCCACCGTTAATTAAAGTTGCCCTCCTTTATGGCTTTTGTTCGAGCGACTCGACCACGCGTTGCCCTCAGGTCTCCTCTGCGCCGATAATGCAGCGATAAGGACGACCTGAGGACCACGGCCGTCCTGAGGCAGAGACGCTTTGGCGAGGCCAACGTGTTCCCAATGTCCAGGGCGAGACGGATCAGTTCCCTGGTCTGCACAGCGCTCGTTGGCCCTGACAACGGCGGCCCGGCGAGCCGACCCTCCAAAATAAAGCTGCATTTTATTTTGAAAAGGCCTTTAAAAAAGGTCTTTTCTTTTCTTTTTTACATTCACAAACTGTGGATGAAGCTTTTAATTTGTCAAGTGAGAACTTGTGGCTGATTACGGTTAGTTAGTAAAGGCTTAACAAATTACGATTGAAGCTAACAATCTGTTAGATGTGTTTGACGTTGTGAGTGAGGACGGCCATCTTTCTTTTCACCAGCTGGTGAACACGGTTAAAGTTCTCCAACAAGATGAAAGTGAGCATTAGATTTACATCTGTAACGAAGGCTAATGTTACATGTCAGCTAACACGCTTTATATCCACAAACACTAATTAACCTCTCGGGACTAAAATGGCGACATTTGAGCGTTGGCCTCTTGCCTTCCTGTTTAATTTCATAGTGGTGAAACCCAACCACCCAATCTCAAATGCTACTTGGTCGTGACTCGGAAATTGAACATGAATGAATGTCACAGGAAGTGGTCAGAGTCCAAAAAGCAACCCACCACTGGACGTATGTCCAGTGCGCTCTGATGAAGTTCCAGGCCAGCGCTTGTCCCGCCACGTTCCTGGCTATGGAGCTGATGGTGGGACCAACATCCATCCGACGAATCTTCTCAGGGTCCAAAGTGTACTCCAGGTATCTGCGAGATAAAGAAGGAGCTTCCCTTTGTAAAAAGATTGTGGCTGGGATTCACCTTATCAGAGGCGCGTCCACGCAGACACGAGTTGTCGTGCACGCAGTCAGTGGCGGAAAAACAACCCGCGATTGTGCGTTTCACCTGTTGAGCAGCCAGATCTTCTTGGTGCAGGCCAGAGCCTGGCCGAGCTGGTCCCTCTCCGCGGTGTCGGTGGAGCTCTGAAACTTGTCCCAGGCAAAGTCCCACTCTTCCCTCCCGCCGGCGGCCAGGGCTTGGCAGTAGATCACAGAGCGCAGGATGGGGGGGATGCTGAACCACGCACACGCAGACACACACACACACACACGTTATCTCTCCCAGCATTCCCTCACTTAAGGCCAAGTTCTTGAGTTCTTAGAGATAAACACCACAAAGAGTGGTACAAGCAGCCACCACCAAGGAACAACAGGGAGTGATTCAAAGCCTCCTACCGTCACTAAATCACCGCTGCAGAGTGAACATAATGAAAGACGTTACAGGCAAGTGCATTCATTTCAGAATGAATAAAGCAGGATGTAATATTGAAATTTAAAACGCTCGTTCAGTAGCGTCGTACTGGTTAGTGCCGTTGCTCGCCATCCAGTTGGCAAACATGCCTGTTGCCATCTCCACGCATTCTGGGAGTCCGTTGGAACACGCCACCTCTATGGCGAGGATCTGGGTGTGCCTTGGAAGGAAGCACAATTTCATTTCATATATAAGTGTACGAGTACTAAATAATGGCAAATATAATGATGACGTCCGCTTGGAGAGATTCTATTCAACTCTTTGGAAAAAAAAAAAACCCTTGCGTTGACATATTTCACCGTCTCCACTGCCAAGAATGAGATAGAGCGTCGTCAGGGAACGAGCAGTAATTGGTGCTCTCGGAGTATTTCAGATGGTGAATTTGGAAAATAGCTGGACATGTTAATCATTTGCACAAAAAACGTGTGTGTAAAAGACTTAGAATGAGATTCAGCCTTTTGGAGAAGCAGCTCCATACAAGCAGACTTTGTACTGGCCGACCGTCGTGTGTAACTGGTGCTGTGTGGGTCTAAAGCGCACACGTCTGTTCTGAGGGCCTCTTTCCTTACTGTAATGAGTGATTCTCCGGGACTGTGGAACTGTCTGTGTAGTTGCGGAAGAAGTCGTACAGGCCCTTGACCTGTTGGCGGAGGTACGCCTGCAGGAAGACACAGTTTCACAACAAGGGTTACAGGGTTGAACCACGCCGGCAGCAGGTCGTCCCGTCGCGTTTGCTTAAATCCAAATCCAACTCAATTCAGTTTCGGCGTTTTCATTTTGAATACCACGCGTTTCGGGAGGAGGTTTTAACGCCACGTGCCTGCATGGGTCCGTTGACCTCGGAGCGGTCGAACATGAGCACAAAGTACTCCAGGTTCTTGGCCGCCAACTTCCAGGGAAGAAAGTCTCTCTCGTCCCGAAGGAAGCGCGTCGAGTTGAGGGCCAGGGTCACGTCGACGAGTTCGGCCCTGAAGGAAAACGCAATCGATTTGGCGACACGCCGGGGAAGCGGACGAGTCACCTGCGTGACCTCATTCCAGGCGAGGTCTTACAACACGCTTGATTCGCAGCAGTGATAAAAGTCATTACCTTGCTAAGTTAAACGCGTCATCAACAAGCTGCCCTCGGTTCATCAGTGGGATTTTCTAAAAAAGAAAGATTGAGGGACAGTTTACGAAGACATCTACAACTGTAAACTCAACTCATTTTGAATTTAAACGTTTCCACAGTCATATATAGACCCAACGATAGTTGAGTCCTGTACGGCTCATGACAATGACTGATGGATGGTTTAGTCCAGACTCTTTGATGGATTGTCATGACATTTTGTAATATGTTTGACTGTCTAAATCAGGATGAACCAGTTGTCTTAGTGCTTGGTGTATTTTTGGGGGGGCTCGGTGCTCACATCAGGGTCTGTCTCCAGCTGAGTCAGGAGACGTTCCCAGTTTTCCGAGTTGTAATTGACTCTGAAGTATCCCGTACAGTTGACGTTTGCCAGGATCCACTCTCCCTTCTTAGAGATGAATTCGTCTTTCTGTACTGTAAAAAAAAAAAAAAAAAAGAATAAACGGGCAAACATTATGAATTGTAATTGGACCTGTGCTCCAACGCTACACGTCATTCATCCATTCATAGTGATTCAGACACCGCGGGAACAGCAGCTAAGTGCCTTGCCCAAGGACGTTAACATGGACTAGTGGAGCCGGGGGGGATCAAACCACAGACCCTCTGATGGAAGGACAGTCCCCTCTGTCACTGAGCCACGGTAGCCCTCACAATGCCACAGGAAAAAACGTACGCTGAGGGTCAAGGGTCACCTCTCCGTCCTCTGTTCCGTCTCATCAGACTTTGCTTTCAACCAAACACCATCACACGGCTGAGTTAAGGATATTCAACGACGGAGTTTTAGTCTTTCGTGCCCGATGCAACAAAGGAGGTGGATAACAACGCCGTTAAAACGGTGCTTCAAAAGGGAAACGAAACGTCTGATTCCAAGTATGTCCGCGGTGCATTCACTTACCTTTATTGTTGGACCTTAACCAGATGGGAGAAGATTTGGGTGCATTTGACATGACTCTGATCGGGAGCTCCCACCAAAGACTAAACATGCAGAGAAGAATAGAAACAACACGGTATAATTAGTACCAGAAGCTAATTTACTAGGAAATCGGTCTCTTGAGCTTTTAAACATTGAGCAACAATGTTGTAACTCTGTTATGTTCTTCGTTCTATTGAACAACTATCCGCCCTGATAGAGTGAGATTCCTGTTTCTCCCTCAGGCATATTCCTTTTTCCTTATTGTTAAAGGTTTTTTGCAGGAGGGTCCCAGATTATAAAGGGCTTGGAGGCCCACTTTTGATGTTTTATATCGAACTGAACTAATCCCGCCGTTGTGTTCTGGGTCTGGCCACAACAACTCAGAACTGCATCAGGTTCAACGATGGCGCAACTCACCACTGCCTGGAAAGCCCAGTTACAACATATTGATTCAAAACATTCCACAGGGCCAAAGACATGATTCACTGCAATCAGCTGCAGTGGTTTCGTGCCGTCGTAAGACACTGTGAAGATTTATGACTTCCCGTTCGCACCACTACAACAACAACACAGAGGCCAACGAAAAGGTGTAACCAAAGCGACGATGAGGTCCAGGTACTCCTGCTTCTGAGGACCAAAGCAAGATTTGGGGGACGAATTCAAGGCTTAGTTGTTCAAATTTCAAGCCGGTCACGTGGCAGCAGCGTTTTTTTTTATGTCCCGTCCGGCCCGTTGCAGGCTCTGCACAGGGGCCTGAACCAAACGGAGTGTGTTCCAGTGGGTGAGGGCGTGCACTACGGGTGTTATTGGGGAAACGGGACCCCGATTCTCTGGACGCGGTCTGGAGTTCATACGGGAAAACGGCAATCAAACCCTGCGCGAACGAGTGTAATAAATAGATGTTCACGTAGCACGTACTTAGATTCATAAGTGTCGTTGAACAGGAAGTGCTTCTGGTAGATTTCTCCATTGGTTGTGTTGATGGTGATGACGGGATAGCCAATTTGTTTCGTCCAGGTGTTCATCACCTTGGCAACGTCGGTGCGACCACCGTCCTGATCAACGGCCTGCGGACAGGGAGCAAATGGGTTCATGTCTCACGGTATAAATACCCCCGACGACAAATCCCGCTTCGTGTCGTCGTCGAAAAACGTGGCTCGCGAGAATCGAACGGTACCTTTTGAATGTGCCCCCAGAGGTCGTCCTGGTCTGCGCTTCCGTACTTAAAGTCTGAGAGGTACATCTGTTACGCGGATAAACAGAGAGATCCAGAGAGACGTTACGGTTTCAAGTTTCATTCCGTTCCTCTTGAAATCATTATTTTCAAGAGGAACTTTTGCATTCAGAATATTCGTGGTTCGGAGCTGGATGAAACGCAACCTCAGGCAGCGGATCCCAAGATAATGTAACGTTGGAACAAATATTTGGCTGAAAACAGATTTTCTTCTATTTTTCTGGCTGGAGGCCTTTAAACATGTGATGAAATGGTGGACACATGGACTAAATTTCACATTGGGAACCTGTTTGTCTCTCTAAACAACAGATGTTGGAATGATGGTAAACGTGGTTTATTTAAAACAAACGTATGTGACCACAACAGCAACATGACCACTCGAGCTCATGTTGGATTACCAGCCGGATGGGATGCTTCCTTCCATCCAAAACTGCGTGTGGAGTGAATAGAAATACATTAAGTCCAGTTCTGTCTGAACACTGTTGAAAGACACGTTCACGGCGCACAACCAAACAAGGACCATACACAGAAAACAGAAAGCTCTCGCAGAGGCTCGACGACCTGACGCCACGGCTCGTTTCTAAGCCACTGATGTGCAAAAACACCAACAAGCCAGCGCATGCCAACGCTCAGCATTGAGTCTATGGGGCCGGGGACCTTTTGCCAAGCGGCTGGTCCGTAGAGGGCAATGGGGCGTGGACCCACCTTGAGCCCCCCCAAAAAGATTACAATTTTTTTAAACATATTAAAAAAAATTTGAATAAGATGTCCTTATTGGTAAACTGTAGGAATAAATATTAAAAATTAGTTTTGCATTGAATCAAACTGGGATGTTTACTGAAACTGATTGGCTGGCCCCACCAAAAAAAAAAATCCACCAGCCGCCAATGTCTGTGTGATTCAGGGACTAAGAGCAGCCGTTTCCAGACCTCCAATCAAAAACTAAAGAACATTGGTGACGTGTTCTGCTTTTCCACCCATCTGGTCAGTCACGTCGCATTGGGGAACCACCGAGACACAAAGAGAAAAACTACTAGTTACTTGCTTTGATTCCTTTGGTGAAAGTTCCTTCCGACACGATGTCCGCCAGCATCCTGAGCACCGCGGCTCCCTGCAGCGTGAACACCAAATACATCTATGAGGGGCACATTCACAGCACACTGGTACCACATTGCTAGTTTACATACCTTAAAGTAGGTTATGGAATCGAACATCCCTTCGATCTCAGCAGGCCACTGGACGTCTTCCAGCGGAGGACTGAGCGGGTGGGACGAGGCCAGAGCGTCGTCCTCGAACGCCCTGTGGAGGTTGCTCATGATATGCCATTCTTTCTGAGGAAGCCAAAAAGAGACAGGAGCACATGGAGATACGAAGACCCGTTCATCCCGCTTTGAACTTTGTATTCACTTTTTCATGAAAGCCGTAAAAGTCCTTCATTCAAAGCTCGGACTGAACTTACCAATTGGAACGAAGGCTCCACTTGGTCCACTGCAAAGATTGAGAAGTACGTGGCGAAGCCCTCGTTCAGCCAGATGTCATTCCACCATTTCATCGTCACCAGATTCCCAAACCACTGTCAACAAGAACAGAAGATGTAGATAGTTGAGGGGAAATTACTGGGCAGCGTCACCTTCACCAACAAAATGTCCCTCTCTATAAGTAGCAACCAGGAAGACACTGAGAAAACTCACCGCAACAACAACAAAAGTATTAAAACCAACCACTGGGACAAAATAACCCCTAAAAGACCAAAATAACTACACAGATACAACACTACTACAAAGAGACACATATTACATGTCCGTCCCAAAATGTCTTTACATGTCCGTCCCAAAATGTCTTTACATGTCCGTCCCAAAATGCCTTTACGTGTCCGTCCCAAAATGTCTTTACATGTCCGTCCCAAAATGCCTTTACATGTCCGTCCCAAAATGCCTTACATGTCCGTCCCAAAATGTCTTTACATGTCCGTCCCAAAATGTCCCAAAATGTCTTTACATGCCCGTCCCAAAATGTCTTTACATGTCGTCCCAAAATGTCTTTACATGTCCGTCCCAAAATGTCTTTACACGTCCGTCCCAAAATGTCTTTACATGTCCGTCCCAAAATGCCTTTACACGTCCGTCCCAAAATGCCTTTACACGTCCGTCCCAAAATGTCTTTACACGTCCGTCCCAAAATGCCTTTACATGTCCGTCCCAAAATGCCTTTACATGTCCGTCCCAAAATGTCTTTACATGTCCGTCCCAAAATGCCTTTACATGTCCGTCCCAAAATGTCTTTACATGTCCGTCCCAAAATGTCTTTACATGTCCATCCATAAAATGTCTTTACATGTCCGTCCCAAAATGTCTTTACATGTCCGTCCCAAAATGTCCGTCCCAAAATGTTTTTACATGTCCGTCCCAAAATGTCTTTACATGTCCATCCATAAAATGTCTTTACATGTCCGTCCCAAAGTGTCTTTACATGTCCGTCCCAAAATGTCTTTACATGTCCGTCCCAAAATGCAAGTCCCTTCATAAAAAGACTATACATGCTATGCAATACAAGAGTTGAGGCCTTGATCCATTGGTACGTGTCATATTTTGTTGTGTCTATCAGGGCAACAATCATCATTCTTACCTGGTGTGCCAGTTCATGTGCAATGATGGAGGCAATGTCCTCCTTGTGCAACGGCGAGGACGCTCCCTCCTCATAGAGCAGGCGTCCCTCCTTGTACGTGACCAGTCCCCAATTTTCCATCGCTTCAGCTCTTAAGTCTGGCAGTGCGATTTGAGCTGGAAGAAGCACATAGATATGGAGAATTGATCAAATGATACACAGGCGTAGTTTGATACACTATCTGAACGTATCAAGCTCACTTATCAGAATGGCAGAGCTCCAAAATCACCACAGCAACCCATCCAAAAACTTGAACCTGCTCGGGCGCGGGTTAAGTCAGCTGGACAAGCTCGCCACTCCCCAGGAATAAAAAAGGCAGCTCTCTTCCTCATTGAAGTTAGATTAACGTTTTATATGGAGGGACTTCTTAGAGGTCACCAAGATTGGACTTCCTGTACGAGCGCTATTGGTGCTGCCAACAAGGAACCATTTATTTACAAGAAGACCGTCTGGAGCTGGACATGGTGGACGCAGCCGAGCATTGACTGTCTCTCAGGCTGTGGATGCTCTGCACAGCACATTTCAGAGAGTTGAATTGACTCTGTGAGATTCAATTTCAACTCTAAGATGGTTTTTGTGTTGTCAGCGTTAAATCAACACTCAACGAAGTGTTAACAAGTTAACTCGGAATAAGTGTCAATATCTGCCCAGTGTTAAATACATTACAGGTCATTTAGCCGACACGTTTACGTTACATTTTTAACCCATGGTTTTTACCAAAATCAACTCTACGGATTTTGCTGTGTGTGTGTGTGTGTGTGTGTGTGTGTGTGTGTGTGTGTGTGTGTGTCGGTCTGTCTTTTCACAAACAATTTCCAAAGAGTTCGCAGAAGCTCACATAGGGAGGAGGTCAGGGGGGGTCAAGACTGCTGTTTCAATTACTTAAACATAACGACTAAACATAACCAGGTAATCTGTTGTTTAATAAACATGACCAGGTAATCTGTTGTTTAATAAACATAACCAGGTAATCTGTTGTTCAATAAACATAACCAGGTATCTTATTGTTTAATATAACCAGGTAATCTGTTGTTTAATAAACATAACCAGGTAATCTGTTGTTTAATAAACATGACCAGGTAATCTGTTGTTTAATAAACATAACCAGGTAATCTGTTGTTCAATAAACATAACCAGGTAATATGTTGTTTAATAAACATAACCGGGTATCTTATTGTTTAATATAACCAGGTAATCTGTTGTTTAATAAACAGGACCAGGTATTTTATTGTTTAATATAACCAGGTAATCTGTTGTTTAATAAACATAACCAGGTATCTTATTGTTTAATATAACCAGGTAATCTGTTGTTTAATAAACATGACCAGGTATCTTATTGTTTAATATAACCAGGTAATCTGTTGTTTAATAAACATGACCAGGTATCTTATTGTTTAATATAACCAGGTAATCTTATTGTTTAATATAACCAGGTAATCTGTTGTTTAATAAACATAACCGGGTATCTTATTGTTTAATATAACCAGGTAATCTGTTGTTTAATAAATATGACCAGGTAGTCTTGTTGCTTAATATAACCAGGTAATCTGTTGTTTAGTAAACATAACCAGGTATCTTATTGTTTAATATAACCAGGTAATCTGTTGTTTAATATAACCAGGTAATCTTGTTGTTTAATATAACCAGGTAATCTGTTGTTTAATAAACATAACCAGGTATCTTATTGATTAATATAACCAGGTAATCTGTTGTTTAATATAACCAGATAATCTGTTGTTTAATATAACCAGGTAATCTGTTGTTTAATAAACATAACCAGGTATCTTATTGTTTAATATAACCAGGTAATCTGTTGTTTAATATAACCAGATAATCTGTTGTTTAATATAACCAGGTAATCTGTTGTTTAATATAACCAGGTAATCTTGTTGTTTAATATAACCAGGTAATCTGTTGTTTAATAAACATAACCAGGTATCTTATTGTTTAATATAACCAGGTAATCTGTTGTTTAATATAACCAGATAATCTGTTGTTTAATATAACCAGGTAATCTGTTGTTTAATAAACATAACCAGGTATCTTATTGTTTAATATAACCAGGTAATCTGTTGTTTAATAAACATAACCAGGTATCTTATTGTTTAATATAACCAGGTAATCTGTTGTTTAATATAACCAGGTAATCTGTTGTTTAGTAAACATAACCAGGTATCTTATTGTTTAATATAACCAGGTATCTTATTGTTTAATATAACCAGGTAATCTGTTGTTTAATAAACATAACCAGGTAATCTGTTGTTTAATAAACATGACCAGGTAATCTGTTGTTTAATAAACATAACCAGGTAATCTGTTGTTCAATAAACATAATGGACCATCTTATTGTTTAATATAACCAGGTAATCTGTTGTTTAATAAACATGACCAGGTATCTTATTGTTTAATAAACATAACCCGGTATCTTATTGTTTAATAAACATGACCAGGTAATCTGTTGTTTAGTAAACATGACCAGGTAATCTGTTGTTTAATAAACATGACCAGGTAATCTGTTGTTTAATAAACATAACCAGGTAATTTGTTGTTTAATAAACATGACCAGGTAATCTGTTGTTTAATAAACATGACCAGGTATCTTATTGTTTAAACGTATAACTGAGAGAAAAACAATGGGATTGAAAACAAACGTCTAATGTTGCTTTTCTAAAACTTTGCTAAAAAGTTTTTGAAAATACCGATATATAAATATAATATGACGATACACTATAACAAAGTATATATTATTGGGGAACAACAGACGATAACAATGTTATTGCCAGCTTGTACTCAACATCTACCACACATCCATCCAAATTAAATCCAAACAAAGACTCACTCAGCTTTTGCTGTTGGTAGTTAATTTCAAAGTGGCTCTCGTAGAACTGGAGGATCTTCGCGGCGACGTCGGTGGCATACTGAGCGTGACCTGCCCTGGTGGCGTTGGGACGTGCATACGTCTGTGTGGGCCAAACCAAAACGTCAGACGAAGGGATCCTCTCCTACACGTTTCTGTTTTGCACTTGTTTCACACATACTTCGATTCCCACGCGGTCGCTGGGTGCTGAGGGCTCGGTAGACGTGAACTCTGACACCACGAAGGCGAACAGGTACGTTGACATCTTGGGCGTCGGATGAAAGTAAGTCACCTTCCAGTCGTCGTCGATGCCGTTGGATTCTGGGAGAGCGGGAGACAAGGCGGACCAGTGTGAGGAAGGACATCTTTTATTTGACGGTTTCCGTCACCGTGGCTCAGGGGACATTGGTGAGAGACACCGGTGTGGGGATTCGAACCTTTGACTTCTGCATTTCCCAGAGCTTGCGTCTCGCTCCTGTGGACGATCGTCACGTGAAACACGGCTTTCAGGTCGGGCTCGTCGAAACAAGGAAAGACTTTCCTGGCGTAGGTTGGCTCCAAGATGGTGGCGACGAGGAATCTGTGAATAGAGAGAAAGACGGGCTGAGATTTCTTTATCGTCGGGTGAATACTGCAGGAACAGGGGACGCAAAAAAAAACATTTAAATGCATTGGCTTTATTGAATAAACACTGCATTCCAAGGCCTGTCATGACAAATAGACGTGTTCCAGTAATTGATTTTGTATTTCGTTGCATTGTAAAAGGCATGATGAAGGTTATTGGACCAATTGCGTCAAGACCGCGGCCAACGGGTTCACGTGTCAGTTTCACTTGGGTTTCAATGACAATACAACATTGTGTATAGAACATATACATGTACACGCAGGTTGTCATGTGCAATGCTATAGTTATCTATGTGGATAGATATACACACATATACATGTATATAAAACTATACAGGTATATACTGTGTATATTATTACTGGGCAACAATTACAATCTTAAATTGCGATTAATCAAATGATCATCTGTGACAACTCACATTTATAATGCGCAAAATTCGAAATTAATTCAAATGTGGTTTATTGCGCACGTTTATTTATGCAAACACTCTAAACAAACAGCAATATTCCCTTTACACAGTAGCAGTTAAATCTCAGTTTAAACATTAATTCAATCATATAAAATATAAAACGAAAGCTATTTGCCGCTGCCAGGACATTAACGTTTTATCCACAAACACAACTTTATATCAGGAGAGTGAACATTTCTAAATCTGATTTCTGTTTTTTCTGAATAGATACCAACATAACCAATATAATGTTATTATAATATTATATTGGTAAACAGTAATCTATGTCCGGCAGCCTGTCTCCCTGTTAATAACTACGTACACCGGTCGTTTGTTTCTTTGTGAATTCAAAGCCAAGGAGCAAAAGATTAAGGGACTATAAAATAATTGTCGGCATTAATTAACGTAATAACTTGCCTTGCCCTAATATATGTACATATTCGTGACACGTTTTTATGACGTTTATGACGTCACGGAGTTTGAGGGGCTCAAAGTCTGTGAGTGCGTGATGTTAGTCGCATAAAATGACTGCATCTTAATAACAGTAAAATCCAATGATATATTGGATCCAGAGGTTACTTGATTGACTGCTGACTTTGACAAATCTAAGATTCAAAGATTTTTATTGTCAATGACACACGCCCTGCCCTGTGTGTTGAAATTCTTGTGTTTTCCTTTTCTGGAAAGCCGACCAATTTCCAAAATAAAAATACAATATTTACATAAACGGTGAAAAGTGCGAAACTGAGCAGGTTGTAAAAGAAAAAAATAAATGAAATGAAATGTGTGCAGTATAAATTAACAGTACAGTAACAGTAAGTGAAATCCTAACAAGCCACAGTGCAGAGCAGTTGTGAGTCAGGTTATAGAGTCCTCTCAGCTGTTGATGACTAATGGCAGTGGGGAAAAAGGAGCTTTTCCTAAATCTACTTTAAAAACCTAAAGCTGGATAATTAAGATCATAAAAGAAAAAGTTCTTTCCGTTTGAGCGACACACCTGCTGAGATGTTTTGCACAGTGCAGCAAGTGGATCCATTAACAGAATAATAACAAATAACGGGTTCCTGAACACGTGATTGTTTTTCGCTTACCTTTCTCCGTCTTGATCGCCTTCGTAAGCTGGGGCGCCTTCGGCGTACTTGCTTGCAAACATTGCATAAGGACTTTGTCTGATGTGTCCCTCGAAAGCCAGAAACAGACTGTAGGTCACCCCTTGCTCTAACGCCTCATCCAACTGGATCTCCAGGAAGTTGCTTGGGTATTCGTGGTTCTTCGTCGAAGACACGGCGACCTTCTTGCTGTTGTTTTTGTTCACCACTACCGGTTCAGAAATGGCCAGGCCATCGCTGTGGAGGTAGATGGCCCTGGTGCCCTGGACGCAATGGAAACTGACGGTGGAGTTCCCTGTGAAGAGCATGGTCTGATTGGGACTGGTGACGTTCACCACCTCGATGATTTTGGTGTAGAAGTCAGGCTGAAGGAAGATCTCGTAGCTTTGGGGTATCAGGTCCCTCGGCAACCGGAAGACGGGCGGCAGACTGGTGGTGGTGGGCGGCGTTGTCGGACGGGGCGTCGGGTTCATCGGCGAGATCTCCGTCTTGTAAAAAATGACCATGGTGATGATGCCGGCGATGACCGAGCCGGTCAGGACGACAAAGGCGGCGGCCAGAGCCTTGGACGCGGCGGTTGCTTTAGACATGCTGGCTTCTACCGATGGTCGGTCCTAGGAGGTCCTGTTGCATGACCAGCGAGAGATGAGTGTGAAGAGCCTGTGTGCCTCTGGTTTGTTCACATCGAAGTAACCTCCCACCCATAAACCAGGCTTGGCCTCAACAATTAAGGGCCTGCGCTCAGATTAAGCATTAACCCGGACTTTGCCAAAGGAGCAAAGAGTGAGTTTTAGTGCGGAAAGGGCGACGTTCATTGGCGTTGTCTTTAAATAATCAGTCTGAAACTGCTTGGAAACATCTGGAGGAGGTTACTGCGGTCCTGCCGCTAATGTAGGGGTTTGGTAGACCTCAAGGAACACTTTATCCTCAGGCCGCACCCCCCCCACCCCCCAGCCCATCACACACACTCCCTCCCTCCCACTGTTTCTATTAACGTAGTATTCATCGGAATCCCAAAGGCCCAAGAGAGGAGACGACAAGAGAAGCAGGTGGAGGAAATCCTTGAAAAGGGGGAACATCCGCGTGGTCCATTTGGACCGTACGGAGGTGTGCGAGGTTCCGCGCCCAGGTGAAGGCCCAAAAAGGGGGCCCGGGCCGTGGCTTCCAAGTGCACACGCTCAGTCAGACCCAGTGCAAGTGACAAACTCCCATACGACAAGATGCATGTGGAGGGAGGAGAGCTGACTGCACCGGATAAGAGGAGAGAGAACAAGACAATCGAGTAATTTTAGAAATCATTGAGTTGGCCGGAAAAGCCCTAAACCTCAGGGAATCGCGACCTCCATGACCGACACACACACACACACACATTCCTCACCCCAGGAGGAGCAACACAGTGAGACTTTTAGGCAGAAAAGGGAACGGTGTATGGAACAGAGGGCCTGAGATGGGCGCGGCGGCGGTTGTTTTTTTTTATTGAGAACAGATGTTTCTGGCGATCAAGAATATCAAACGCACACCAACCGTGGCGCAAACACTAAGGTAGAACCGAGTAGTCGTCCCAGTGAGACTGGAGCCGGGTCGAGGAGCGATCAAGCACATCCACATTCCATTAACGCCCCGTTAGGGCTGTTTTGAGGTCCATGACACGCGGGAAAGCCGTGTGGTTTCACACAAACACTCAAATTCCATTTATTTCATCACAGTTTAACATGTGTAACCAAAGCAGAGAGACTCCCTGGACCTCACTCAGAACAAGGTCCTATTGTACACCAAAGTTTTATTATTTATTGTTGTTCTGGTGCGCATCAGAGCCCCGTTCCTCGTACGCGGTTCAACAAAATTCCAGCTTAACATCAACCCGCACTCAATCTTGTTAATTCAGACCAGACCTCAGTAATCAGGACGGATACGCATGCACACCCCACTTCAGGAGGGGGGAAGAGCTGATCCCTGAAAGCCTGAACAGTCCAACAGGCGCATTTTTCAGGAGCAGGAGAGCAGGAGATGATTATGAAGGTGTGTAGGCTCATCTTAAGTGCCTCATCGCCGCTATCAATCAGATGACATTTGGTTAAATGCGCCTGCTGGCAGGAGGGTTCATGGAATGCATCATCCAATGAACTATCACCACCCAGAACAAGGAGATAAAAACAAGCCCAAAGCCTATTATGAAAAGCTCATCCGGCTAAATTAAGTTAGCTTGCGCTGGAGCAGGTTCAAGGTTCTGGATGTGTTGCTATGGTAATTTTGCTGGAAATGATCTGGCTAACTCAGGCAGCCAGACATTAGCCAGGTACAGGGGACATCCCAGTTGTTCCAACAACTGTCTGAAGACCACGGCCTTCCACTCGCGGGGATTCGGAGGCGTGATTCTTTTAGGAAATGTGAAGACGCTTGTCCTCATTGCGAGGCGGGTTTACACAAACACACAAGCTTGGGAATGCCAGTTAAGATGGAACACAGTTGTTTATGAAGAAGTGAAATCCTGCACACTCAAAAAAATATACATCATCAGCAAAATCTCACATATACATTAATGCGTTCTGAGACACACGAGCGTCTTGACTGAAATGATCAGAATCTCTGTAATGGGTCACTAATGCACAGTTTCTGTTGGAGGACCTTGGAAGGGCAAATGTTTGACAACAAGGACCTCTGCAGATTAAAAAACAGAAGAGGAGAACCAGAGGCGGCTCCTGCGTACACCTTCTTAATACCCAGTCTGATACTAAAACTTGTGTATCTGCCAATACCGATCTGATACAAGTAAGTTAGTTACGTGTAGGCGTTGGTAAAGAATAATAAACTTGTTTAAAATGCAACATCCACAGCTCCAGGTGCCATTACACCGGACACGGGAGTCACTTGACTCGGGTAAGTGTTTTTTGTTGTTGTCTTTTCGTAGCGTAGAGACGTCTGGTGGAAATGTGTCCACGTCAGCACGACACGGTGCAATCAGCACGTAGCACCTCTGCTGTTGTAAAGAAAAACAGAATGGAAAAAAAAAAGAAAACATGCATCCTTTTCATTTCACTTTTTTTCGTCCCCGTGGGAACACGCTCAGTCAGGCGGGGACAAACTTATTTGCCATCCGTCCTCAGGACCGCGGCGATGGAATGATCCTCAGTTCAAGTCTTAGCGCCGTCTACCACAGCCAGCTGTCCTGATGCTGGATGCAGTAACACGACTGCTCCAGGATGGCCGACAGCTCCCCGTAGCCGCCCTCCCTCCACGTGGGGAGCAGCCGCTCGCTGTTGAGGGCCTGGAGCTTGGGCGTCCCCTCCTGGAGGACGCGGTACAGGCAGGGCCACCGGCTCTGGATCCTCAGCCTGGTCCTGCGGTCCAGAGTGATGCCGCGGACAATCCTCGTGGCACGGAGCTCGCGCAGGGCCGGCAGTTGCAGACGGGAGAAGACCAGGCCCCGGCTGGGCGACACGTCCAGGAACTCCAGCGACGGGGACTCCAGGGTGTACGAGACGCCCAGGTTCCTGAGCGGCACCAGGATCTGCAAAGTCAGCGACCTCAGGTTGGGCAGGGACTTGGCGAGGGACTGCAGCGTCGTCGGGGTCACCCCTTTAAACACCCAGAAGTATTTGAGCTCGAGGACCCGCAGCTGCTGGAACCGGGTGAGCAGCGACACGGACTCGTCCGACCAGTCGAAGTGCAGCCGCATCTTGGAGACGCGCGGGCAGCGGAGGGTGAGTTTGGTCAGCAGCCCCTGGAAACTGGTCACCTGTGGGATCAAAGCAAAGCTGTGTGTAACAAGAGACATGTTGCCGTGGTTACCAAGCTCCAAACTCACAAGTGACACTATGACAGCTGAAGTCTGCTGCTGCTGTGATGAAGGTGTGTTAATGGCAAATGTGTCGCCATGGCGACGCAGCAAGCTCAATCTGAACTTTGCTTTCTATACACTACACAGGAGACTTGTGCAGACTTGTGCAGGAAAAGTATTATTATTATTATTCACTTACTACTAGTGTATACTTACTATTATGTGTCATACAACTGATACCACAAGTACTATTACTACTAACTTAATCATCATCATCACAATTGAATACAGTATAACATGAAACCTCGATATTTCTGGGATGTTTAATGTCTCCTGTGTCAATCATAGAAGAAAAAAAAAAGTGTTTAACTTATTTTTTAATATTTCCCTTTCATGCAACTTATCCAGGGACAGGTTATATTTAATAATTACAGGACTAAATTGTTCGGTTCTTAGTTGACTAACATCTTTTCTACCCCATTATTCAAATTTGATCCTTTTTTCATGCTAAATAATTAATTCCAAAGAAACGTATGGGCCGGTCTCTGGTAATCGGAAGACTTTAAGCGCTTTGATTAAAGCAATAATCGATAAGTTGACAATGTCGTACGAGTCTTTATTTGGCTCAACGCGTCAGTTTTCAACATGCGGTTTCAAAGTTCCGACTCATCAGAAGCCCCACAACGATGGTGTCAATCGTAGGACCATGGATCTGATTGCAGTCAAACCCAAACTAATGTTTTCTTTATTCAGTGTTTAGTCTATGAAACATCACAACAACGCAATTTGATGCAGTAAATACTCACTTTTGAGTAGCTGGAATATTTTGCATTGTGCCAATGTGCAAAAATGTCATTGTTTGCCTCCGTTGGTATCGAGCCTCGACATTTGGTCACACGGGAAGTGACAAGCTTTTCATTACAGAAGAAAATATCAACACATTTGTGCATCTCACAATGTCATTTTTCACTTCCTGCACTGAGTAAAAATAGTTACCTGGTCCATCTTTGTAACGTAGTCCTGGTGCGAACTGGAGCTGGCGTGGACCCGGAGGTCCAGCGGCTCCAGCAGAGTAAACGTCCAGTTGAGGTCCAGGTGGCTGAGGTCTCTGCACTGGACGTTGTCCAGCAGGCGGCTCAACAGCTCGCACCACTTGTTGCAGCGATCCCCGAGGTCGAAGCTGGCCTTCAGCGTGAGCAGGCTGGCCCTCCGTGAGATGAGGTGATGGGTGTAGTGGTGCACCCAGGCCTTCCACCTCTCAAACTCGCGGTTGGAGACCAGCAGCCCCTGCTGGGCCAGGTGGAAGACCCCGCGGCGGGAATAGTCCGCCACCCGCCACAGCTTCCACGAGCGGACGAGGCGGCTCCAGCTCGAGCAAACCAGGGCGCAGCTGCATTTGTCCACCTCGTTCAGGAAGCACAGGACGTGCAGCTGGCACTCAATGGGCAGATGGTTGAAAGGGAAGTGGCTGTCTGCCGCTTTCCGCCGGCGGCTCACGGGGACCAGGGGTCTCTTCCGCGGCGACATGACGCGAGGTGACGAAACGATGTCGGTGGACATTGGTGGAGGTCAGGCGGTCTTGTGGTCTGGATTTCCATAAACATCTATTTTCTGGGAATTCTGTTGAGATAGAAGAAATACGTAAAAAGAAAACAAGGGAAATAATGCGAGATGTAAAGTCTTAGGTGAAATAAATGACACATACTCATCGGTTGGTATGTGGCCGATGGAATTGCTGTTCGGTTTGAAAGGGTAAAGTGAAATAAACTCAACTTGGTATCACGTGGGGACAGTTCAAAGGTCAACGAGTCGAAGACGTCCCGCCTGCAAACAAGCTTTAGTCGCAGTCAGTGACCAATGAGCCACTTTTTCGACGTTTTCCCCGTTGAAACAAAATAAACGTGCACCTGTGGCGCGCTCATCTATTCAGTTAATGAGTGACTCGTCGGTATTTGCGTCCGTCATGTCTCCTGTCACTCACGTTCTGGCTTCTGTCATAACCAACGGACTCATTCGGACACCCGCGTTGCGTTTAACGCCAGCGTTCTGTGAGAGACAGTCACCTCTCACCGTTTACCTGTTGGGTCAAAGGAGGTCCCCCCCCCCCGTCCCCTGTCCCCCGTCAATAGAAAGCTACGCCGCTAAAAGCTAACGTTAGCAGACAAAGAGACAAAGGGGTACAACATTAAAGCTGAATACATAAGTTGGTCGTTTTTTAAACGTCCCTATATCCGAAGACATAAGACCACGTAAAGCAACACATCAAAACCCAGAGGTTTAAAAAGCCACAAAAGAACCATATTCATTATATTGTCCGCCTACAAAAGCTTTGTTCTGGTGTTGTTGTTTTTTTTTTTTTGTGGCTCGTGATGATCGCGTCATCAACGTGCGTCGGGTCTGGCGTTTTGCACCATGGCGTCGCGCGGAGGGGCGGAGGTAATGTTTGAAAGTAAAGCGTTGAGAAGAGCAATCGCCTTCTGTTCACTGCAAATAGCGTATTTAGAGTGTTTTAGCGGAGCTTTGAAAACACGAACCCCCACAGAACTGCAGACCGCGTTTTTACGAGTTTATTTAAAGATCTCGCGCATGCGCGCTCTCTGCCGGTGGCTCATAACACAAATGGTCTTTTCCTGCTGTTTAGTACAGTTTATATATCACCAAAGGGAGCCATTATTACATACATATTACATTATTATTATTATTATTATTATTATTACACCACAACACGGCCGTCCCTTCACTTCCACCCTTTTACAACAGAATATTGCGTTATAGATTCAAATCGTGACCAACGGTGTCATCTGTCACTGTATCCGACACACTGTACAGTATCTTGTCGCTACAATCCTCCAGTCCACGCACGTCCATACCGCGTTTATTCATTTGTATGATATTAGAAATAAACTGACGACCCGGTTCATAAATTAATAAAATGCATGTAGTGTACACCAGAATACAGCCATGATTCTGGAGCTGTGTAATCAATAAAGTAATGACAATATTGTAAAACCACTGTACTCTTGAAACTGTAATCAAAAGAATAATACCAATGCACAGCTATGATTGTATTTACTGGAATGCATGCATGCAGTACAACTGATATGGACTGAGAGACATTCGAAATCAGAGTTTGAACCCACCAGAAGACGACTCCCAGAGGTGTGGACACTGACTTTCACACCTTTACTGAACTGTATAAACGCCTGTAGTCAACCAGGGTTCTCCAGTTGGCTGGTGGAGGCAACAGACAGTCACTATGGGGGGTCAATGGGCCCTGGGGCCTGTTGATTGCAGAGACCAGATTGTGTTAAAGAGATGTTCTCTTTAACACAACACCCTGTCCTTTATTAAATACTTTTGATTTTAACTTTTCGATCCGCGATGTCTTTTGTCCGTCTGGCGTTTCTTCATTTTGAACACAACAGATAAGAACAGTTGACTGTATTTTTGTTTTATTTCTCATTTTATTGTTGGTCATTGTTGTTGTTTTTAATATATGTTTTATCATATCATCGTAAATACGATTTTCTTTTGTCCGTCCTGACTTGATTTTCTCCGTTTTGTTGTTCTGCGCATCTATTTCTGTCATAGTTCAAATTCCTGCCTCACAAACCATTCAAAGGACTCAGATTTTAAATGCATGTATACATATAATTTAGTGTGCTATTGTGTGGCAGAGGTACAAGAAAAGTATTCTAATTCAAATTATTTTGCTTTTTTATATTTATTTATATGCATGAGTCTACCCATTTTGTGGTGAGTAGATGGCATTGCAGTATGTAATAAAAAAAAGAGGGGAGGTTGCTGGCAGTTGAAGGGTGAGGCTTTCATGTAGCCTCCTCTGGCTGATACCCCCACACACAGGTCTGCATGTTAATTATCACTTTGTCGTCACTTTGTTACTTGATCGCTAGTGCACTTTATGCTTAATATTCAAACTTTTTTAATATTTTAAATGTTTACCTTTAACTTTATTCCCTTGTTTTATACTAACACATAGCCTTATTCTTTTTTTTTTTTTTACCAACCCATTGCATTAGCATTTCATTTTGCTTTATTTATTTATTACTTGTGCACTGTTGTCCTGTTGTCTACACTGTCTACTGTCACGCACCAACCGCCAAGACAAATTCCTTGTATGTTTGACATATTTTGGCAATAAATGTTTCCTGATTCCTGATAAATAAATAATCTATGAATAAATGAATAAATAAATGCTGAATATTTACATATAAACAAATAGATATCATATATTTATTTCTACATTTCTGTTCGCCTATATTTCTTTACGTATTTACGCTTGAGTCATTTTTGACCACCATATGGATGTATCCTTAGTGCGACGGCACAATAAAACGTTCAGTCCGGCCAAATGACCCTCCTGCCCGCCTCCAGCTGGGAGGGGGGGGGGGGGGGGGGGGGTTTTTTTTGCCGGGAAGCTTTATCCCCTTTCAATTTTTTCCCCCTTTGGAAACCACGTGAGGGGAGAACATTTTGTGTTCCCCTGGGAACCGTGTGGACAAAAAAACGCCCTGGGCCCCCCCCCCCCTGGGGGGGTCTCCATTCTTTTGTTCTACCTCGCGTCACGACACGAGCCCCGTGCGGCGTTCAATGCCACAATTGAGGGATAATATTTAGCAAATAACATAATTGTGCAAAAAAAACACCAATGATGCGCTTGCGGTATTAATATTGAGTTAATCGAAATGATCATTTAAATATAATTCTAAAGAATAAAATGAAATATATATCAAATGATCCGACAAAAACACTTGTCTCGCCATACATTGTTATTATACATACGAGTTTATAACTGTTAAAAGTGATCAAACTGGGGCTAACTTTGAAACTGTACTAAAATATCTCAACGCCAGGATTCGTGCGCGGTCTGTCGGATGGTCGCTGTCGGGTTTGTTTTGGTCCAGAGGGGCGGTGTCAAAGCCAACCAATCACCCGAAGGGGCGGGGCCGGGAAGTGTCACGTGGCTCGTACCGTCCCGCCCCTCCCGCCCCTCCTCGTAAAGCGGCGCGTCCTTCATACTCTATTCATTCCTCCCCCTTTTACCCGTGACTCGCGCAGCGCGTCCCCCCGTTACCTTCTCAGCGACGCCACAGAGACACTTTGCCTTCTACCAACGAACACACAGAAGGACAACAACAACAAAAAAAAGAGACAAAGAAACACCCACTATTTCCTTCGCACATTCACAGCGAGGACCGAATAACTGAGATAAATCCTCGACTGCGACACGAGCGAGAGGCTGAACATCCGCCCGCTCCTCCATCCGGGGGCGATCCACCCAGAAGCTTTCCCCCCCTCTCCACCAAAGGGCCGACATGAAAACTAAATTCATCAACGGGGTTTCGTCCTCGCCCTCGCTGTCGCTGGACATCCTGGTGACCGAGAACGCGCTGCAGGTCCAGCCCGCCACCGAGGAGGACTGCGGCGGGGAGCCGGACGGGGCCGACCGGCCCGACCCGGACGCCCGCCGCCAGGCGCATCTGTGGTGCCGGGAGTTCCTGCACGGCGCGTGGAAGAGCGTGGCCGAGGACGAGTTCCGCATCGCCGTCATAAGGTAACGGGGGGGGGGGGGGGGGCCCCGCCGGCTCCGGCGTCCCGGGGTGGAAGCTCGTCGAGCGGGCGGAAGGATGCTGACGTCCGCCGCGGGCCTCTGTGGTTCTGGATGGAGCTCAGTTCAAACGGGCCTCCTTTTTAAAAATGCTTTTCTGGGACCACTAACGACGTGGCAGTTAAATAAAACAGAAAAAAATACGTATGTATATATATATATTTTTTTTAATGAAGCTGCAATTTCATTAAAGCAACATTGCTAACAACTATAAAAGGCGCCGCTTTAATTCTTACCAAGTGGCCTATTTTGGTCCTCCAGACCTATGAAAACAATTTATGTAAGGGATTAAGGGATTACAGGCATTAGTCGAGCGAGGTAATGTGACGCTGTTATTATAGTCCCATCACCCTCTGAGACCCGGAGGCCTCTCTTCTTCTTCTTCTTCTTCTTCTTCTTCTGTTTTGTTGTTGTTGTTGTCTGAAGCCATATCTGTAACAGTGTCCCACCTCTCCACGGTGTCTCCTCCGTCCCACAGGGGCGGTCTGAGCAACAAGCTCTTCCTGTGCAGCCTCCCCGACGGCCTGGACACTGTCGGGGACGAGCCCCGGAGCGTCCTGCTGCGCCTCTACGGGGCCATCCTGCAGGTGGGGGCCGCATTTCTCACCGCGCCGTTTTTTTTTTTTTTTTTAAAGCGCCGCGTCGTTCGCGCCGCGCAGAAGAATAAGAAGAAGAAGAAGAAGAAGAGCGAGTAGGCCGGGCTCTTTTCTCCCTGTAGAAATGTTTGTCTTCTATCACAGAGATGACTCGTCAGAGGTCAGAGGTCAATGTGAGCTGATGATTTACGTAAACAAACGAGGAAGCTTGAACATACGACTGTGTGATGTGTCGCCGCCAGAGCTTGTTGTGTGCGTGACTGCGCGTGTGTCTGCAGCTCATATGCTTATGTGTGTGTGTGTGTGTGTGTGCGCGTGTTAGCCATTGTTGTACATGATGATGTACCCCCATGGCTGTACATGCATGTGTTCTTTGCCGTAGGCTTCCCAAAGGAGCGTGCCCTCCTGGGTACTCTTGTTCCCAGGTGAACCCACCAAAAAACACGGTACAGTATGAGATCCCTGAAATCTCAGCCAAATAACAAAGACGTAATACACACAGTTGACGCGGGAAGCAGCGCCAAGAAACGCCTCCTTTCTGTCTCCTTTTTTCTACCCAAAAAAAAAAAAAAAAAAAACCTGCCCCGCGACTCCAAAACGGGCAAAAAAAAGTCTGCGTCATTGTTTGTTTGTTGTGGTCATAGAGGCGTGAAGGTGATCTGGCGCTACTGTCTCGGGTGTAGCGTATAAAGCCGAAGCGGCTACGAGTCACCCGCCGTCGAGCAACAGGAGGTCAAACCCAGCGCACGTGGCGCCCGCGTCCCGCTGCTCTCTCAGCCTTGAAATCCTGCATTAAGCATTAACTAAAGCCCGTGTCATGAAGGGCAACGCGGGGCTTTTATTGCCGCGGGGCGTCCTGACAGAGAGCCAAAGTGTCCTTCACCACGGCAACCGCAGCCGTCTCCACCCGGGACGGTCGCGCCGCTGCGACTCAGGAGCCCCTGAGTGCCGCCGCCGCCGCTGCCGACGATTAAAAACGCGGGCCCGACTCAGCGTTTCTCGGCGAGGAAGATATGCGAGCAGCATGTTCGGGTGTTGAGCATCTAAAATAAATACGTTTTAAATCAATCTGGCTTCACGGCCACAGTTGTCAGAGGTGACTTGAGCTCCTCAGGATTCCATCGGGACGGCGTTTTTATTCAACGCGTTGATGAAAGACGCGTCGTGTAGTTTATAGTGACCACTTGCAGGCCGGTGAGGTCTAGTGCCCGCGGCGGCGGCGGCGGCGGGACGGGGCGGGGGTGGGGGGGTCTCCACTAAATGCATGTTCTACGTTGGACCACACGCACTGATACCGACTGCGTGCGCGCCCTTCCCACAGTGGGACGTCCCACACCAAACAACGGGTTTAGTACTTGGCTATAGAAGTGCTATAATCCCCCCCCCCCCCTCCCAAAAGCGGCGTCCTGTCGGCCCGGCGGGGTCGCCGCCGGCTGTGGATGTTCACGAACGCCCGTATTCACGGATTCGCTCTTCTCTCTTCTGCTCACAGATGTCCTGTAACAAAGGGGATTCTCGACAGTCAAACAAAGAAAATCTCTTCCAGGTGAGTCGCCGATAAATTGCATATTGCACGATTATAAATAATTCTCTTTATTATTTACCTTATTCACCACGATGGGGTTTACTGAACTAAGTGAGTCATATGAAATGAATTTAAGTGTAATCCGTCCAAGGAAAAAAAAACTTTTAAAAGAAGAGACCTTTTTGGGGAGAAATTTTCCCCCCCCCCCCCCCCCCCCTCCTCCCGCCCCACCACCGTTGGCCTAGAAGCGATTTCCTCCCCCCGCCGCGACCCCTGACGGAGGCGAGGTCATCTGCCCCGTTGGCTCTGGCCTCCCGCCCCTCGAGCTCGGCGGCAGTGACACGCGGCGGCACAACGAGCGCGTCGGACGTCGCTCAGGACTCGGTACTTTTCCGCCGGATTGTTTTGCGTCAGTATTTTAGTGGTTGTTTCACAACCGGACCCTGTTTATTTCGAGCCCCCTTATCGCTGGTCTTTGACAGCGGTTAGATAAACGCGTCACAGCGGCTCGTGTCGATGTTGGATGGGTTGGATGCGGCCTTTGGACCGTGATTCAAACCCCCCCCCCCCCACACAACGGGTTAGCTGACACAAACAACCGAGCAGATAAGCATGTTGTCAGCGCACACTGCACCTGCCTGGCGGCTCCAGGAGGGCCGGCGTGAGACCACGTCGGACCCGGGCGGCTCCTCGCCATTCAAAAAGGGAGGGGGTTGGGAGCTCTCTTGGGGGGGGGGGGCCAGGGGCGATGCGTCTGTTGCTTGTCAACAGCTTGTCGATGATTACTTTTGAGCGGGTAGAAGAAGAAGAAGAGACGACAATCAACAGAGCGCTTAAACAACGCACCATGGCGGTTAAAATGGGTCACCGAAGGAGGGGCTGCGGAGTGGGGGCGTCGGGGCCGCACGCCCACGCGGCGCTTCCTCCCCGACGATGGAGGTGCAACGTGAAAGCAAGTGGCCAGAATATTTGGGTGAAAAATGTAGAAAAGAGGTTGCGTCTGCAGAAATAGCTTGTGTGTCTATTGCTAGGTGGCTAATGGCTAGCTGGTTGCTAGCTAGGTCAGTTGCAGCTGGTGGATGTGAGGATTTATGACAAAAATAAACCCCCCATTGACATTATGACCGTGACTATTGCCCCTTTCCCCAAATATTTACTCAATTATGTTTCGGATGTTAATAATAATAATTTAAATGTATCGACCTGGTGGACAGAAATAGAGACTTTGCGTTTTGAGGTCAACGCGTCTCAATCCTGATCCTGGGAGGGAGCCGTTGGTATCGAGTGGCTCTGTAGAGTTTTTTTTTGTTTTGGGAAAGGCGAACATCAGAGCGGGCCGGCGTCGTCTCCCTCGGGGGGGGTCGGCGCTTCCTGCTGGACGGCTCGAGCACGGAGCACATTCCTGCTGCCTCCTGCCACACAAAAACCAAAAACAACACCCCTGCAGAGCTCCAAAGCGCCGGGCTTATCTGAAGGTCATTTTCGCCACTTAAAACACTTAACTTATTCGAGCCGGGGGCCCTCCTCCCGCGGGGACCCCCCCTGCTGTCCGTCCTGGGACGAGGTGAAACAATTCGGTCGCTGATCCGTTGCAGGAACGTGTGGAGAAATATGAAGGATGTCTCAGCTAGTTTACCTCCTTACTGGTAAAACAAACCCCCCCCCTGCCGGTCCCAAGACGTTGCTCCCACCAGCCAGCGTTCCAGGTTCCCACAGTTTAAATCTTCCCCCCCCCTTAAATCTCCCCCCTCGGCTCCGCCGCCTGTGTGTGGCGAAGCCCCGGGCGCCGTCCGTCTTCTCCACACAATGCAGCGAATCAGGGGCCATTCGGGCTGCCGGGCTCGTGCTTGGTGGGAGAGGAGCTTTTTTTTCCCCAGGCGACCTTGAGCCAACCGTGGACTCGGAGCTTGTGTGTGTGTGTGTGTGTGTGTGTGTGTGAGTGAGACCTTTTGTGTGTCTCTTGAGATAAAAGGCAGAGAGGCCCACGAACCCCCAACCACAGCTTTTCACCTCCCTCAAGCCGACCCGTCCGGCTCCATTCGGTCCTGTATCGGTACTCCACGCACACACACACACACACACACACACACGAGTGCTCTCTCCCCGCTGGGAGGCAACGGCGAATTCCACCAAACCGCACCGCTGAAATCCACACGAAACGAATGTTCCTCGTCGAACCGTTTCAGTGGGTTGGTTGTACAATTTACGGCGTTTTTTTCCAAACTAAATCGATAAAAGGTTGGAAAAAAGGTTGTTTCCAGACGCCGCGTCCCTCACAATCCGATGAAATGCCTGAGCTGCCGCCTTTCTTCACCGCCGTGTGTGTGTGTGTGTTCAGGGCGCGGAGGCCATGGTGCTGGAGAGCGTGATGTTCGCCATTTTGGCGGAGAGGGAGCTGGGGCCCAAACTCTACGGCATCTTCCCCCAGGGCCGCCTGGAGCAGTACGTCCCTGTAAGTAACCCGAAACTAAAATTAAAACGAACGACCGCGAGTCGGTCCGGTGCTTTTGCTGATGATCCGACTAGCAGCGTTTGTTTGATTTTTAAGAAAGAAGAAATATTAAATCAAACTTGTTTTTTGATCGACACTTTAATTAACTGACCATTGAGTTGTTGAATCCAGCTTAAGTTCGTTTCATCCCTCGTGCGTTGTGCTGCTCGAAAGAACCACGAAACATCCGCTCGGCGTCGCACTATTGTACCTTCTACTCCCGGACGAGGATCCGTTTGACCTCGGCCGACCTCATTTAGCACTCGGGTCAACTGCGAAAGACGGGACAACTGTGCGTGGAGCGACGGCGATCCCACCAGACCAAAGCAGTCGAGTGCAGCTCGAATGAACACTGTATTAAACCATGATAAGAATCAAATCTGACCGACTGATGCTGCCGCGTCCACAGAGTCGCAAGCTGGACACGCGTGAGCTCGCCGACGCCGGCATCTCCGCCGAGGTCGCCGAGAAGATGGCCCAGTTTCACGCCATGAGGATGCCCTTCAACAAGGAGCCCAAGTGGCTCTTTGGGACTATGGACAAGTGAGTGATTTGGGTCTGACCCGCCCGCGACACACGAATATTTAGTGTTTTTTCTCTCATGTATGTTTTGTTTTGTGTAGTAATTTTGTAAAAGGGTTTTTTACATTCTATTAGGTGAAGGCTTCAAATGAGCCCCGGTTTGGCTTTTTGCATCTGGGAGACTCATTTATTTCTGTTTATGGTCGTTTATTTGCTCATTTTGTGTCGCTTGAATTGTGCAGAAACTCTTAGTTGGCGACAACGCAGCTTAAATAACATGATGAAACGATGATGTCACGGGACTTTTTAAGAATGACTCCTCGTCATGGCAACCCCCCCTCTCACTTTCGTTCTTCAATTTTAGATGCTTTCATAATTGGTAATCAATTGATTGAATATTTGCGGGTTGTGGGATTCTCATTTATTGTCCCGTCGTGCTCATCAAGTAGTTCACGTTGACCCTAAAGCGTATTCAGAGAACGCGCCGACCCCCGCGTGGCGGCGCACACGTGTTTTTGGGGGGAAAGGGTTCATGTGTGTGTGTGTGTGTGTGTGTGTGTCTCTCCACAGGTACCTGAGCCAGGTCATGAGGCTGAAGTTCACCAGAGAGTCTCAGCTGCGCCGCTTCAACCGCCTGCTGGGCTACGACCTGCCGAAGGAGATGGAAATGCTCAAGTGTGTTCACACACACGCACACACACACACACAAACACACACACATATATAATATAATGCAATGTGTGATATAAGCTCGATCCTCCTCTGTCTTTGTGCTCAGGTCTCTTCTGGAGTCCACGCGCTCTCCCGTTGTCTTCTGCCACAACGACTGTCAAGAAGGTACAACGCGTGCACGCGGAAAGCCCCCCCCGGCCCCCCCGTCCCCCCGGCCCCCGCGCCGGCGATTCCGTTTCACGGGAGCTGACTTTGTGCGTCGCGCGTTGCTTTTTCCTCAGGAAACGTGCTGCTGCTGAAGCGCGGCCGGAGCTCCGACAAGCAGAAGCTCATGCTGATCGACTTTGAGTACAGCAGCTACAACTACAGGTGAGGAGGCGCCGCAGAGCTCACGGACTCGACGCCGCGGTTCTGTCTGTGCAGCCACAACGTAATCTTTCACTTCACAGCTCACGAGGAAATGACTGCTCTCTTCTCCTACGAACATTTCACTTTACTACTTAATCTGACGTCTGAGCCAAATACCCTCCATTTGAATTCTGTGTTTCCCTATTTCTACTTTTTGCTACACTGTAACTTAAGACTTTGATTAACGAGGCACGTGCCTCCTCGCTGTTCGCGTGCACCCGTTTCAAAGGGAGGACGCAGTGGTTCAGCCGGTTCCTCCACAGTTGCAGAAGTGAGATTCTCTAGAGGTCCTTCGGAGAAAGACAGTGGCTGCTGTGGCCGTGCATGTGCAGAGAGAAGCCGTTTGAATGACACGGATCTCCGGGGGGGGCGGGGTCATCCACACCAACAGCAGCACAAAGCGCCTCTCCGTCTGGCTCGCGGTGCGTCCGGCGACGTCTAGTCGAGGGACATTCCATGAAGCTTTTGAGCTCGACGCCCGTGTTGAAACATTCCCTGCAGCTGATCTGTGGAATGGAGCCAGTGACGAGGCGCAGGGTGGAGGTGGAGGCCTGGAGGAGAGGGGTGGTGCAGGAACCTAGGAATGCAGGGGTGCAAACTTGTCAGCTTTCGGCGAAATTCGCCGTTTTTTTGTTTCAAAATAGGTCATTTGTGTGATTTGTGGGTTTTTTTGGGGGGGGTCCGGTCCTCCAAGTAATCTGCGAACGCGAGCTGTCATAAATATTTTTTACAACTCGTGTCATCATGTCATGTTGGGGTCTATAGCTGCCTAGCTGCGAGAACGTCCGTCTGTCTAACGTAGGCTAACGTGCTAAATGTCAGACGGTTGTTGTCGGATAGTACAGCGTCTATTTCCTTGGGAACTTTTGAAAAATCTTAAGCGAGAAAACGCCGAAAAATGTACCTCCCTTACCTTCACATTAAAAAATCCTAAAATAAATAATGGGAAATCAAAGGCTTACTCTGATACCAATGTAATGTTAGCGAATTGCTAATATTTATTCTGTTCGTCCAAAGCGAAATCTATTCAAAAAATCTCTCTCTCTATATATATATAAATATATATATATATATATATATATATATATATATATATATTTATTACCCGAGGGGGTTCGGATCTTTGTCACCTTTTTTCATCCCTGACGAGTTTGCACCCCTGGAATAGACCAACGGGATCGTGGGCCTGCATGTCCCTCCCCCTCCATGAACACGCCACACCGAGACGCTCCACCACGTCCCACCGCCGCCTCCTGTGGCGCTGGACGCATGGACCGGCCCACCGCGCAGACGCACAAAGCACGAGAGCAGGAAGAACACACAGTGGATGGAGGTAGCTGGACGTGGAAACGGAAAAAAGGGACGATTGCGATTCGTGAGACGCCCCCGAGAGCAGCGGGAGGATTTTTGTGATTCTCCTGGTATCCGTGTGGGAACCAGCGTGCCGAAGTGTTGCCGTCTGTTCGTCCCGCTCAAAATCTCACGTCGTCACTGCGATTCTTCAATGGTGGAGGCGTTTTCACTTCGCGGGCCTCTCTGGCAACATGCGGCCGATTGTTCTCCCCCAATTATTCAGGAATCAGGAAACATTTATTGCCGAAATATGTCAAACATACAAGGAAGGACAACAAGACAGCAGTGCACAAGTAATAAAATAAAGTAAAATGAAATGCTAATGCGATGGGTTCGTATAAAACAAGGGAATAAAGTTAAAGTTACAAATTTAAAATATTAAAAAAGTTTAAATATTAAGCATAAAGTGGCTTATTATTGTATTATTATTATTATTATTGTGGCTAAAATAATTTTGACCCAATATATTATGCTAATAATCATTAAAATATGCACATATAATATAACATATTAAATAAAATATTTGAAACTGAAGCAAATAATAGTAGTAGTTTTTTTTTAGCATGATAGCAAACTAGACAGAAACCAACTCAAACTGTAGCATATTTTGGATGGAATGACGAACGCCAATTTATTCCAGATGATTTTTCCAGATTATTTTTAGTGCAAACGGCAAAATCCCCCGGTTTCTTTGAGGGGGAACCGACTCCCTGTTTGCCGAATTAAATCTCCTCCATCGGCTCCAGCCGAAGGAAATAAACGGCCTTCGGTCCGGAGCTTTTCATTCATCGGCGTCTCTCTGCTCCCCTCGCAGGGGATTCGACATCGGCAACCACTTCTGCGAGTGGATGTACGACTACAGCTGCGAGGAGAGCCCCTTCTTCAAAGTGGACGCTCAGGCGTACCCCTCGAAGGCCCAGCAGGTGGGCGCCACGCACACGCCGCCCGCCGAGTCGCCGAAAACGTTTCCGCCGGCGTTCTGACTCGTCTCGCGTGTGTGTGTCTCTACGCAGCTGCACTTCATCCGGAGCTACCTGCGCGAGTCCCACCGGGGGTTCGGCGGCCTGAGCGAGGGGGAGCAGCTGGAGCTGATGGAGCAGCTGCACGTGGAGGTCAACAGGTGAGCGCCGCCGACGCACGTCCACGTCCCGGACAGGTGGAAACAAAGTGGTGATTTTTGGGGTTTTTTTTACCCCCCCCCCGCTCTAGGTTCTCCCTGGCGTCACACTTCTTCTGGGGCTTGTGGTCCACCATCCAGGCTCGGCTGTCCACCATCAAGTTTGGGTACCTGGTGAGTAGAGTTCTAGCCTTTAAAAAAGACGTTTGCCTGACACAAACCCCGCGGCGAGGCCAAATTAGCATGCTAACCGGCTAATCAGCGGCAGCTGAAGACAAACTCTTCCGCGTCGGACGGTTATTCAGTGTCAATATTGACTGAAGCTTGTCGATGTCACCGTGCCTTCTGGGCAGCTTTAGTGGTTGTCCAACAGTCCGTCCACAGAAGGACAACACAACCCTTTCACATCTTAACGACAGAACAGGATTATTTTGTATCGCTCCGACGTTGTTATCCACCGTATGCTGTAAATACTTCAGGATCAGGAATCAGGAAACATTTATTAGCCAAAATATGTCAAACATACAAGGAATTTGTCTTGGCTTGTCTTTATTAATACTTTACCAGCATATATAAATGTGCAATAATGTAGCACATAAAACCGTCTGTGGTTGCTTTGCTATAGTGCATTGTGTGGTATTGCTAAGGAGGACTGTGATTGTAATATCGTGACATGGCCTCGTTCAGTAGTCTCCCATTAAACGCTCTCCCGAGTCTTCAGCCGGAGGTTCGATTCCCGGGACCTCAAGAGGCCTCTCGTAGCGTTTGGGTCCCGGTGGGCAGGTTAGCTGTAGACTGCTGAAGAGCCTTCTGAGTGGTCAGAAGATATCGGGCTAATTCAGGAAGGCTGGAAAAACAACTTTCCAGCGGAAATTGTGCTGCAGGTCAGACGGCGTTCCTCTGAAGGAGAACCCGGCGAGGGTAATGAAGGGACAGGCGAGTTAGAAAACATGCAGCTGAGACGAAAACAAACCAGGACGTGACACTTTCATCACGAGCGTTCTTTGACCTTGAAACTCAAAACTCCCCGCGGTGACCTTCAAAATCAGCAGCGACAACAGGAACGAATTTCGTGAAAGAAACCAGTGTTTTTCCGTCCAAACATCGTCCAGTGCGACGTGCGTTTGCGCTCATATCTATTCCCGTGTCGTAGGAGTATGCCCAGGCCAGATTTGACGCCTACTTCCAGCAGAAGAAGATCTGGGCGGTGTAATGGAGCCGCGCCGTTGGACGGGACCTGAACATGCAAGACCGAGAGAGACTCCACCCTCTGCGCTTTCCTCCTGCAGGGGGGGGGGGGGGGGGTCTGCTGGCTACTGTTGGTGTGTTGACCAAATGCCAAAACTTGATCACGCGGTGCTTAAAAGGTACACCCCTTACCCTAAAAAAAAAGAAGACCATTGCCGTTCGAAGTTTACACTGCTCCTCCCCCTCCCCTGAAAAACAAACACAAAATACAAAAACCCCCCCTAACCTGTACTAACCTCCATCGCTGCCCTCCGCTTCTGCCTGGGTGGGACCATATCACTAACACAAGGGTTGCTCGGGGAGGAGCTGCAGCTGGATTGGAAGTGTTGACATTGCATCAATGTGTCTGTATTGCTCATTCCCATTGTGGAAACGCTCGGTTGGAAATAACCAAAATGTGAACCGCTCTTGCTAGATTGCTGCTCGCGAAAAGCGGTCAGTCGCTGGATATGTATATTATATATAGACCTCGACGTGCCGGTAACCGGGCGCTGTCTCCTACTGTTTACTGGTGTGATCGTGAAATTGATCGACAGGTCGGAGTGATATCTACACTTGTAGATATTAGAAGCTTTCTTCTTGTCAGATTTTCTTTTCTTTTTTTTGCAATCGTCGTATTTGGGATTTCCTTCAGACCAAATCCGATTATGTGGTATTTCCAAGTATGAGAAGAGGTTCCTTTTAGTTGGGGGGGGGGCTGGTTAAACGTTAAAACATCGGGTATCTTCACTGCTTTTAGGTCTGGTTCTTGGTGGCTTCCCAACTAATAATTCTGTGACTCTCTATCAACCCGTTTGGATTTCTGCTGACTCGCTGTGTAGTTTACACATTAGGTATTGACATCAGCACTTCTTATTTAGCCAAAAAGACATTCCAACCACGCTTCATAAGCCTGGGAAATCGTTGCTTAGCAGCCAGGTAACCCTACGGCTTTTTTTTTAACTTACTTTTACATTCTTATTATACTATATTTCATTGTTGCACTGAAGGAAACATGTGAAACCGTGGTAATGTTTTCTTTGGTGTTACTGGGCTATTTGGCACAAGTGCCTACTGCTATTGTCGTAGTGAGTTGCTCGCTTAGACAAAATGTGCAATTTTACTTTGTTAAAGAGAAATTGTTGGGAGAGCTGAGTCCAATCAAACCTTTTCAGTTAGACACATACACTCATTTTATGGCCACTGTCTGGATGCACCTGTAACAAAGGGAAGAAGTGTGCACTCTGTGTCCTCACGTCGCGTTTCTCTGCTGGGCGAACTGTCCCATGTCCAGGCACTACGTGTTCAAGCACATCAAAACGTCTCTTTTAAGGGACACCCACACGTTGTTATTGAGCAAAACATCCTACAATATTAAGTAGCAGTGTGTCCTTAAACAATACAATCGTCCTGCACTCATTTCCACTTTTGGGTTTGGCCGCTTTGGCGCGTGACGCGTTCGTTTCCAAATTTCTGTTGGTTTGGATTCACGGACGCATCCCCCATCACGCGTCTCAAACGGACGGATTCGCGACACCTTAAGAGCTTTGATTTGAGTTCGCCGTCGTCGTCGCTCGGCGCCATCTGTCACGATTAGCATTCCTCTTTCCACCCTGATGGATAACAGCGGCAATGAGCTAGCCGCCTAGCTAGCCACTACAGTAGCAGTATATAACAGATTTCACCAGAAATGCTAATAGTAGCAGCAAACTGTTCCATGCTACAACCACATGTTTTGCATTTTATATATTGCACCTCGTGAAGAAAACCAGACTAAACAGCCCACTGGGCATCGAGGTTTGACCGGCTGTCGCTAGTCAGCTAATTTTCATTGTTTCCAGATCAATCTTTTTAGCCTCTATAAAAAAAAAAGTATATTTTAAATATGCACTTTACCACTTCAAACATTGCGTTCGATTTGCATTTTATTTGCTCAAAAAAGCCCCCAGCGTGTAAAAGGTCTTGTTTGGCTACTTAGCTCACATACTTGTTTGTATCCCCCCCAAAGATGAAAGCTCTCCTGGTGCGCTTAGCAACCATGACACTTCCATTGGGCCACGTTGCCGGGTCACAGTTTGAACATCCAACAAAGACCAGGACAGAGCTGCTACCGTTTAAAACTCTTAATATTACCCCAATACTACGCGGCCTGTGTGCTAGCAGTGAACACGCTCTTGTTTCTGATTGGACAATCACTGTTTGGGTTTCGGATCCAGCAAGTCAATTGAAAAACAACATATTTGCTTTAGGTAGTTTTTAAGTAATACTGCATGGAAATATCACCGTCGATGCTCGTTTTCCACAAAGTGTTGGATTGGATATTTCATGCAGACCTGAGCACTGGCATTTAGTGTGGAAGCAACCAAGTGACCTTTGTTAACTAAACCGAACCCAACACTAGTCGCGCTGTTACAGGAACCATCCCGAAGTGTTAGAATGTCTACTGAGGCACTTTTGATCGGAATACATTTACTTTAGTGTTTTCACGTGTGAAACATTTGAAGGTTGTGGAACTGTGACTCTTAGTTTAATTTTACATGCAAGTGAATTTATTGTATTTTTCATTGTGATGTTTCTTTGGATTTACTGTATAGTTAGATTTTATTTTGCGACTCCGCGTGTCGTGGATTATACTCATGGTGTACTCAAAAAGAGTTACGGCTGCATTTCCTTCTCTAGCAATAGTCTAATTTAGTATCTGTTATTTTTTACCATTCAGTGTCTCTTTCTTCTACCGAACTTAACACTAAGTTTTGGTTTTTAATCTATTAAATATATTTGTCCTGACTTCACTCTCGTTTTCGTCCCTTTACATGATTTCCACGATTTAGTTATATCAAAAATGGCCACTACGATCTGTACCTTCGATCAAAATAACATTTTGATTGGTTCCAACTAAATTGTGGAAAAGTAAAGAACAAACAAACTCGCTTCTGTTTATACATGTTATTAAATATATGTATCATTCCCTGACAAAAATACAGAGGGTCATGCAAAAAAAATATCCAAATGAAGAATTTTCATTCTTAATGAATGTACATAGTGTTAAAATTAACAAACATTTTGTTATGTGAAAGCACCCACAGCTACAGCGTCATGTGACTCACACTGGTAACCGTTGCTCTCTATGCAGTTATACTGAACGCTTACGTACTCATGGAAACATAACGGCAAAGCCTTTTGGGTGAATTGCAGCAGCGTAGAAAAGACTTTGGCTGTAAATGTACTTTTCTGCTCTGCACCAACAAGAAATAAAAGAGAAAACAACTCGCTGACCAGTGTCTTCTTTTGGTTCGGGGGGGGGTACCCATTAATGCAATTAATATTAATAATTCAAGCTAAATGCTAACTGCATTCCACTTGCCTGTGAGGACTATGCTAACGATAGCATAGAGGCTAGGTAGCCATAGAAGGCACCACATTTAGCATGTTAGCGCGGCGGGTCAGCATGCTAACACCTAATTAGCAGGAAACACATCCGATGAGTCGTTAGTTCTCTAAAACGTCTCGGACCGATGAGACGCACCTTTATGGTAATACACACAATGACAATAAGAAATGCTCCAATAAGAGCAAGAAATATAAGAATGCTTATCTTTTTTCACCAGCTGAGCTTATTTGTTAACTGTTGCATCTTGTGCCGCTAACAGGCAATCAAACCACGTCGGAAAAAAAACGATGACGTGTCTCATTCTCATCATGATGTGGTTACTGAATTAAGATTCCATGTCTATTAGTGACACAGAACAGCCAGTACCATGTCGGATAATATGCCATGTCTGTATGTGGTATCGTAGGATAAAAGCTGGAACTCGCCACTAATATTGGCCAGTGGACCCAGTTAAATGCACAAATATAACTTAACTCAATGAGCAGTTTCTGTTTGAAACATGCATTAATAAACAATAACATCAGGCTGATAGAAATACACCTCGACAGCCACACACACAGTGAAAGATACTTAATTATATCCCAGGTAAACACCACTTAATTACTACATCATACACATACAGTTGTCGCTAACTACTACGACTGTATGAGTGTGTCGTTCGGCGCTTCTGTCTGCTGGTTTTGATGGATTCCTGCCTGTACCACAACAAGTAAATGTCTATATAAAGCCAAACCCCGACACTGTGGCTGCAGAATATAAAAGCTGACATAGTGGCTCAAGTTACTGCAGCAATCGGCCTAAGTAGTGCATGCCGAGGCAGGCAAAAAAAGAAAGAGGGGGGGGGCACTAATGGAGTGGATGGTCCAAAACCCTTCAGTGTGATGGATGATTGGGGCTTTCTTCTTCTACCTTTGACACAAAACGGCACATTCTCCCAAAATGGATGTTGATTTTATATGTGTCGAGTTCCCTCATCTCAAACTACAGTTTCAACAAGCGTAGTCCATGTGTGACACCGCCCCCCCTCTGGTTTCCCACATTCCTGTCGCTGTGGACAATGACGCATAGAGGACAGAGATACAAAGGTCAGAGGGACAAGAAGAGGCAAAGGGAATGAGGTAAACGTAAGGGAATGTAGGAGCGGTGTGTGTGTTTATGGCTCGGGGTTTGAGAGGAATGCAGCGTCACGGCTCTGCAGAGACTCGGGCGGAGGGCCGAGGGGGGGAGGGGTGGACGTCACCTGGCCTCAGCTGTCGGGTCGGGGGGGCCAGAGACTTTCTTTCTGCGGTTTGTGTATCAGCGTCCCAGAAAAGTGGGTCATGGCCTTCTGTCAATATCCCACAGGTTTCACGAGCAAAAGTGGGCGGGTTTCATGTTGGGGAACGAGCTAAAGTCTGGTCGACCCAGCAGGGACGAAGTCCTATGTGGACGTCCTCTGGTGTCGCTAAGGCCTTGGCTCCCAGTGGCCCCAGGAAACACGGAGTGAGGACGACGGGGGGCCAGAATGCAGCGTGGAGGAATGTCAACAGAGACAAAGAGCAAAGGATTGGCATGGACAGCTGGGTGGGGGGGGGGGGGGGGGCTGCTTGTGTACATCCATGGAGTTGAGATACGGACTGGAACAGCTATGAACACAAAAATGTTCAAATCTGCTGTTGTGGTGGATAATCGTCCGGGAAGCCTTAAGGAGGCAGAATGAAAGTGGAAGGACAACAAACTACAGGGATCATGTGACGCATCAAAAGCAGAAGTTATTCTGCTCAGTGCACAGATTCTTGAATAGTTCTCTTCCTCCTGTCATACACTTAGGTGGAATTATAAAGTAATAATATGACTCAAAAGCGCCATCTGGTGGTAATCAGTTATAATTCACTGAATGAGCCTGAGACACGTTATAACGATCTCATTTGAAAAATAAATGTAGCCACCTGATCAGAGACTGAGCCAGGTAGAAAAGCTCAGACACATTTGTTTTAATAACTTTTTATGTTGTTTTATTATGCCGCAAATTTCAGACTCCATTGATGCCATTTTTCAAAACTCTTGATACAAAACTTACAACCAATGATCTGAAATGAAAATGACTCAAGGTAACATCAATGTACTATTTCAAAATGCAATTCCTACCTTACGGTCGAAATGGCTGTCCATTCATTTCCTTACAATGATCGAACTATCAATTCATGCAACATCTCAAAATGAGAAGTATTTGCTGCAGAAGCCTTAGTGGATAGTTTTATGGATACTGACAAACCATATTGTAGATCCATTTACACCAATTAGCGTGGATCATGAACCAGTTGGATTAAATGATCTATGGATGTAATATTTGATCATCATTTTCTATCAGACACTGTTTCTACGGTCCCATGTACCACTTTTTCAGACCAAGCTGCAGGGCTTGTAATTACCAATTGTGTCCAATTCTGCCAACTGCAGACACCTGCAACAACATACCAATGCATGTAACACGGAGCCAGCAGGAGATCCAGGTCACAACAGAGGGGGAAGACTTGGGGTGTGACGAGACAGCTTCTGGCCACCCAAGCAAGTCCGGCGCCTCCTCGTGGCGTAACCCCGGTAAAGCAGGGCCTCCTTCCCTACGGCAGAAGACCAAACCTCTGCGAACCCCAAAAGGGAGGAGGGCCATCACCCCTCCTCCTCTAACTCGCTACAGAACAAAAGAAAGTAAATAAAACTCCACTGGCCGCAGTGGCAGCCAGTGGAGTTAGAATAGACGGCAGAGATGACAGTCCGCATCGGTGTGGATTCTGTGTGAAGAGCTTGCGAACCAAGAGAGGTCTTGGAGTGCACAACATTGGGAAGCACCCAGATGAACATCACAGGATGGAGGTGGCCCGAAGGGAGGGCCAAACGAAAAACATCCGTTGGTCCGAAGAAGAAGTTGAGCTCGTTGCGAGAGCCGAAATAGCCGGGGAAGGGGCCCGTTTTATCAGTCAAGCGGTTCTGGCGAGGTTGCCGGGGTGGACCATTGACCAAATCCGCTACATCAGGAAGACGGACCGCTACAAAAAGGCCCCGAGGAGATTACAGGAAGATATCCTTAAGGACCCAGCAAGCGGCCCGGGTCTATCACCAGAGGAGGATAATGCCATCCCGTGGAGACCATGAGTCGGAACCCCCGGGGAATGAACCTGACAACATCTGCAGGACGAGAATACATCACTGGGCAGAGGAGCAGGCCTCCAGCCTGGGCCCCGAGCATGCCGTGCTCCTGAAGCATCTAGCCGACCGCAGCAACGACCTAATAGCATCTGAACTTCTGAACTACACCGCATCCTGGTGAGTCCCCAGGCAACCGACCCTACTCGGGCAGCTAAGCAGCAAAGCGCCCAAGCACCGCGGCAACAATCGTCGGAGAGGCAAAACAAGGACAGCCACTGATAAGAAAACCAAACGCCAGCTCAGGCAAATTTTTTATGCCAAAATGCAGACCCTCTACAAGCGGAAGCGCTCGGAGGCAGCTATATTGGCAATGGAGGGCAGTTGGGATAAAAGCAACGTTCTAAAGTTCAGCAGGGAGATGATTTCCTACTGGAAAGGGATACTTGAAGGCCCCAGAATCGAGGATCTGAGACGCCCAAACAGGCTTCGACCAGTCCTCCACAAGGCCACAAGGTGGCGCCAGTCACTGTACTGGAAGCGACTACCCTGCTAAAAGAGCTGCCTAGCTCAGCTCCCGGGCCTGACGGAGTACTCAACTCTGACCTGAAGCGAAAAAATCAGGGAACATAGTTTTCAGTGGATGCTCAGACTTGGTTCACCCTGAGAAGAGGGAAACTCTTGTCTTGTCGGTTTCAGAAAGGGAGGCAACTAAAGCTCAGGGTCCGTCACCGTGGCAACTGATCCTGTGAACCTGGTCGGCAGCAGGTTTTCTTCCCAACAGATTCGGATGGTGCACTCTCCCTTGTGGAGCCTCATGCCACAGCAGAAGTCCCAGAAGCTGTAAGACAACTAAATACCCCAGACATGAAGTACTTTAGAGTCTATAACAATGCTTATCTCCACCGATGAGGAGAACACATTGTCTGCTGTGACAGAGAGGCCTACAGAGGTATTATCACCACTATGTTACTGATAGTCATCTCCTCATTCACAATTCTTACCACTGCCGTCCACACAGCAGTGTGCGGATATGGAGCGTGACATACGACTGGATATTCTACTTAACAGAACGTGTCTGGGCAACAGGAGGAGGGTCCATCAACCTCCACATCACAACACTGGAGATGCACAACAACTGCCACAGATCTATGATGTTCAACTGTATGATTTCAATGTCCTGATGTTATGTGTTACCTGCAAAGGACCTTTATTCCACCTAGTAAAAAATATTTAAAAAAAAGACCTCGAAATGGTGTTGCTGCACCGCCAGATAGAAAAGACAGATATCGAAATCCTAAAATACAAGCTAGAGGCGGGTGCATGGTCACAGGTGAATGTGTGTTAAATATCGGAACAACATAATAACCTCACTGTTGCTTTTGTATTTTTAGGAAATAAAGACGACAAAATGAAGTTTCATGCATTTTCTTTTTTTTGGGTGATGCATGTGTTTTAGTCGGTAAAGTGATTTCTGCACAAGATCTGCTGGAGATCTGCAGGGTAAATGGGATCCTCTATTTTTTGGTCAGGGTGTTGCTCTCCTATAATTGTGGCAATATTATGGAGAACAACACACGCCACAATAATGTCACATGCCCTGTCAGGGGTTACCCTGAGGTGGTGTAGCCACTGGAAAACGAGCTTTCAACAGGCCTGTGGTCATCTCCACCCTGGCTCTCCTGGGCCACATTAAAGTTGCTCTGGGGGCCTGGGTCAGGGTCAGGAGTGAGCAGAGTGGGCTGGCACGGAGAAGGTC